TATAAAATATATATAATTTTAATTTTTTTAATTAAATTAATTTTAATAATTGGATAATTGTTTAATAATATAGTTTATTTTTATAAGCTTTTATAAATTAATATAAAGTAAGTATTTTAAAGTAATAAGCTTTAAATTTAAAAAATTAATAATTTATACCTAAATTTAATATAATTCCTTAATCCTTTAAAGTAATTTAAAATAATAAAATAAAATTACCTTTTAAATAATAATTATAATTAATAGTTATATATATATATTTAAACTTATAAATAATATTATAATCGTTAATTAATTTATATATAACTTAATAAGCTTTATATAACGGAAAATTATTACTTATAATATATTATAATAAAGGGGTTTAAAAAGGAGCCTTTTTTAATTTATAATAAAATATAAAAGTAAAGCTAATGCAATTATATTTAATATAAGAATTTAAATTAATATAAGTTTATAAAGGTAGTTTCTTTAAGCTAGGTATATATATTATATAAGGGGTATAAAAATAATATATAATAGATATATAAGGGGGTAAATTTAACTTAATACCTTTTATTAACTTAAAAGGTATTAAGCTTTTAATTTATTTTTTAATTATTTATTATATTTTAAAAGATTATAATGTTTTAATAAAAGGGGAATATAAAAATAATATAATAATTATTATTTATTTTTAGCTTTATCCCGCTTTTTATTTATTTAAACTTTTTAAATGGTTTATTTTTATATTATATAGCTTATATAGCTAAGGTTTTAATTTTATTTAAGTTAAATATAGTTTAGGGTAATATAGCTTAGTTAATTATAATTAAAATAAATTACTCCTTTATAGTTTTTTTAATTTAATCTATTTTTATTACTATTTTATAAATAATTTAAAGGAGCTTTAAAAGGGGGTTAACTTTTTAAAATAAAGTTATTAAATTAATAATTTTCTTAATAATTAAAACCTTAAGGATATTAATAATAATTATTATTATTATTTCTTTAATAGCTATAATTATTATTATTACTTTAATAATTATTACTATTATTATTACCTTTATAATTATTAATATAATTATAATTAAAGTTATTATTATAGTTATTATTAATTATTATATCCTTTATATTTATTTTTATAATTATTATTAGTAGTTTAGTTATTATTTTAACTTTAGTTTATATTTATAAGTAGTTTATTATTAATTTAAGTATTCTTTAATTTAAGCCTTTTTTTTCTATAGTTAGCCCGTTAATCTTTATTTATTAATTCTTAATATTATTATATTATATTAATTATTTTAGTTTTAATTTTTAATAAAGGGTTATAGAAATTTATTAATTCCTTTTATAAGGGTTTATTTAGTTTTTAATAATATAATAGGGCTCTTTTACCTTTACTTTATTTTAAGTTTTAATTTTTAATGTTAGTTAAATATTAGTTAAAAAGTTTTAAGTTTTAATTAATATATTATATAATTCTTTTAAATTATATATTAATGTTAACTTATAAAAGAATAATTAATATAATAAAGTTTTAATTTAATTTAAAAATATATCTTAATTAAACTTTATTTATTTTTTTTTTATATATTTAAACCTTTTTTTTATAATTTAATATATATTTTTATAATTTTTATTTATTTTATTATATATATAAAGAATTTTAAGGGTATTAATTTTAAACTTATAATTAGCTTTATAAAATATAGTTTTTAATTCTTTTACTTATTTTAACTATTTTAAATAAATAAATTTTATATTAAAGGGGTTATAATTAAATTTAAAAAGCTAATTTAAATTAACTTCTTTAAAGGAATAGTATTTATAATAATATATATAATTTAAATATAATTAATATATATAATTACTTTAATTATGCTTTATATTAAAGCTGGATAATAAAGGGTTATTATTATTAAAATTGCCCTTTCTTTAATTCTAATAACGTTATTAATTATTAAGGGTTTATAAATTATTAAGGTTAAAGTAATACCTTAATTTATTTAAATTTAATATTTTTAAGTTCTTTTTTTTTATTTAAATATAATTTAAAAGGGGTATAAGTTACTTTTCAAACTTTAAGTAACCTTTTTTCCTTTAAAAAGTTATTTCTTTAACTTTATAATTTTAATTAAAAGTTAAGCATTTATTTATTATAATAATTAAGCGTTAGCTTTATTTATTAAATTAAAGTTATTAGGAAATTTTAATAGCTGATTTTAGGTTTATTGTTTTTTTAGAAATAAATTATATTAGCTTTATCCTTAAACTATTATTAAAAACTCTTCTTAATTTAAATTTTTTAAAAGAGCATTAGCTTTAATTATTTATTTATATATAAATATATTATAATTAATAACGTTATAGGTAACTTTAAAGGAAAGCTTTAGAATTATTATAAATAGGTTAAATTTTAAAGGTTAAGTATAATATTATAAGTCTTTTTAATTTTATAATAGGTATTTAATAAAATTAAAGCTTAAAGAAGGGAAGAATTTCCTTTAAAGCATATATAAAAAGGGTATATAATATATATAAAGTATATATATTTTAGGGGCCTTAAAATACTATAATATAATAGTAGTTAATTTTAAAATAAAGTAGGTTATTAAAGTTATAATAATATTAAAAGGGGTTAACTTTAATATAATTAATATTTATAATAATACTATTATTTATATAAAATTTAATCTTTTTTAAAATGTTATAAAAGTAAAAAAATCTATATTATTCCTTTATATTATACCTATAAGGTAATAATAATAAAAAAGATAAATATCTTAATTATATAATATATCTTTAAGCTTTATAATATTTAATCTATAATAAATTAAATGCTTTTTAGCTATATATTATAATAATATTATTTATTTAAGTATAATTAATTATTTTTTAACGAAGTTTTATATATTCTTATAAAAGTATAATAAAAATACTTTTATATTAAGCTATAATAAACTTTTTAAAGGTATTATTAAATATAATAAGGTCCATTTTAGTTTTTAAATAAAATAAGGACTTTAAAACATTATAAATAAATTCCATAAGTAATATAATTTATATATTAAAGTTATAATATTATAAAATATAACAATTAACCTAACGCATCTCCCACTTGACCTGGCCACCCAATTGACCTGGCCACCCCCCTAGCCCATACAAATAACGTCGGTGCGCTAATCACGTGATAATTTAATAACTCTACGAATATTAATCGTATGAAATATTAAAATATACCATTAGATTTGTAATAAAAAGAGCTATTCAACGGTACCCGTTACTAATTTTTACGATTTTTATTCGCGGAGTTATTAAGTAATACGCTAAAGTAAGCGCTAAATTAATCCTTGCTTAGCGCCCCTTTAGCGTATTGCTTAATATCTTGCTTAATAAATTTTATAAAAAATAGTAAAAAATACCATTGGATTCCCCTTTAAATAACGGATTTAAAGGTACTAATTATTAAATCGTACGATTAATATTCGTAAAGTTATTCTAAATTGAAATAATGGGATTTTATATAGGTTATTGGGGTGGCCAGCTCAATTGGGTGGCCAGGTCAAGTGGGAGATGCGTTAATAAAAGGTTAAACTAATTAATATAATAAATATAATTAATATTAATAATTTATAGCTATTATTATTAACATTTAATTATAGGTTTATAAGTTTAAAAATAAAGATTAAATTAATTAATACTATTTAAAAGCTTTTTATTATTATAAAAGGCTAATATACTTTATACTTTATAATTAATAACTTTATTAAAAAAGGTTTTAATTAAAGTAAACTTATTAAAATTAAAGCAGTATTATTTATATATAATATTAAAAATATCTTTATATATAATTATAATATATAAATAAATATTTTTAAAAGTTTATAATATTTAATTAACTTTAATATTATTATTATAAAGGTTATAAATAAAGGTTATATAATAATTTTAAAAAATATAGTTAAAATAATTATTATAAGCGGAATTATTTATAAAATAGTTATAAGTATTATTAATTTAATAAGGTTAAAAAATCCAATAAAAGGTATTAATTTAAAAGGATTTTAAAGTTTTACATTATTAATAACTAACTTTTTTTAAAAATACTACTTTCTTCTTAATAATAGCTTTACTTTTAAAGGTCCTTAAATAATTATATTAAATTATATAATAATATAATATATTATTTTTATAATTAAAAGTGTTATAATAAATAATATTATATTTATAAGTAATTATATACTTATAAAGTAATTCCTAAACCTCTTTAGCTATATTAAATAACGGATTACCTTTAGCACCGCCCTTAAATAGATTCGGGATAGTTTTTAACGTTAAAAAAAACGTAAAGATCATATAATCTAATATAATTAATAAAGTTATCGTAATAGTTAATAAAAAAGGGCCATACAAATAATAAAAGTAATAAAAATGTTATAAAAATAATAAAGTTAATAAATTGTAAAAGTTATAAAAGGTTAAAAGCTAAGTAGCGAAGTCAGCCTTAAAGGGTATAGATAATGCAGGAAAAACGGCGCTAAAAGCGCGCTACAGGTCTCTGCCAAGTAGTAGTAGCTAAATACTGCATACGTAGTGTAGGACCTACTATAGATCTAGCTTCGTCCATACTAAATATATATACAATTTTAAACCCTTTATTAACCTATTCCTTAACTTCATAAATATTTGATAACGTATCTTGCATAAATCTCATGATTCCATAAGGATTCTTGGGCATGAAAGCCGTTGGGAGTCTACCTTTCACGAGATTAGACTCGCGCACACCTTTGGCCGAGTCATCGCGCCTAGTCCACCAATATACGCAGATGCAAAACGCGAATGCCATCAAGAGCAGATCGACTCTAAATAATTCAATATATTTACATAGAATTCAGTGAAATGGTTAGTTTGGACCAATTCTTATGCAAGAATGAACCACATACAAACTCATGTGTCATTTCTTGTGTTCTGTTGTTTCAATTCATTCAAATTTCATTTACACCTCAGCTCCCGAGATTTTGGATAACATGAGAGGAAACTCTTTTAGGCTCTCAACTTAGGAGTTGTTTATCTATCTATTTGGTATCTATAAGCAGGATCCAAACTGCTTCCAATGAGCAATTCGTCCCAAAGCACATAACCTAACCCATATGTCATACTATATCGTTTCGTTTATTCTATTCCCATAAATTGTCATATGCCTAATTTCCGTTTAAACCACGCTCCAGTAAATAGCCCATTTGGGATCCAATACGTTCCAAATATACGGCATCCCCCGGTCGAGGCCGTTCTCGTCGAATCCTCGTGCCCGCCATTTGTCGCTCAGCGCGAACATGTCGTTCTTGAACTTAGCCATGGCTGCCCTCGTAGGCGCGTTCATTCGACTCTGTAGCTCTTTGTCCTCGAACATGTACGCGAGCGTCATCTCCGTGTCCTTCCAGCTCGCGCGGTTGCCGGCCGCATACGTGGCGACCTGCCATGCGGCTCCTTCTGGAGTCGGCATCCATTCCACTGTAGTAGAGATCCACGCATTAGCAAGATAATCGAATAACGTAAATAATTTGAAAAAGAAGAAAAAACGTACTGATATCCGTGATAACACCCTTCTTGGTCGGTATTGGTGATTGCCACCCGGCTGTGGAGAATGGCAGGGCCATAATGTCTAGCTGATTGCCGTTTCCGCTCATGATAGCGTCTATATGGGTTGTCAAAGTAAGAAAGATATCCCCCTAGAATACTATAACATTATATACGTACGGACAACAGAGCCGAGGTAAGCTTGGTGTGAGAGGATTCCGACGAGATCCTTTTTGGTTTGGATCTGCTTGGGGAAATCGTGAACCTGCGCAGGTACGGTTTCCCTGAGCCAAGCCTGAATCTCTCGGTCGTTTGCGACTGCCTTGTCATTCTTGTAGTAAGAATTGACGAAACTCATGAATACTTCGTTAAAGGCGTTCATGAGGACGGCTCCATCTTCGTAGCTTTGTATTCATAGTTAGTTTAACCCCGTTCTATTATATATGGAAAAACAACAAGGCATAACTCACAAAGGGAAAGACTTCAAGGCGGGCCCGTGTTCATAGTCTATCAGACCTCGGCGCCTCAAGCTGTTGTAGAACATGTTGCTTGTGTAGTTTGCTGTCTCGCCTGATGAGTAGACCTAAAGAACGCCCAAATCATCAGCATCCTATGAACTCTAGGAGTTTAAGTACCGTGGAGGGCTAGGCATACCTTGTTCGCCCAAGCGCGAGCAGCATCAGCACTCCATGGGTAGTATTTTGGACCAGTGTCCATGCTGCCGTTTACAAGACTTTCTTGCAGATTAGGTCGAATGCTCCAAGGTGTATTCTCGACTATTCAATCAAATTAGCGTGAACATCCGGAGAGATGCGGAGGAAGTGATAGAGACTTACCTCTATTCAAAAGAGCCATGACTGGGTGGTATTCACTCAAAGTTCGGATAGCAGCCAAGTATGGAGCCTCAGCGGCTGAGTGCGACATAGTGGTGTGGCCCCACGTCCTTCGGATGGTTAGCAAAGCTCAGCAACTTATCCGCAAGCTCAAAGATAACCGAAAATACGCTGAAAGCTACTTACGAGTGCCATCCGTCGTTGGCGTTGATTGTCATCTTGGCGAACAGCCATTCGTCACGAATGTCCTTGGGCGTGTAGACGAGAGCGGAGTCTTCTCGACCCTTGACAACCAGTCGAATAGCGAGCGGGAGGAAGTCGCCAGCATCGTCTATGTAGAAGTAGGCTTGACATCCGGCACCATAGGCTGTCGTTGTCTCTTGGTCCTTCATCTCTTCGAAGTCTTCCGCGAAGAGGCGGCCTTGGGCGTGGAGTTCTTCCAGGGTATTTCCGGTGATCGACTTGGATATCTCCTCGTCGACAGGGAAGAGCAGAGATTCATCAACCTTCACGCGACGAATTCTAAAAGGGACAGATGATAATCTCATCATGGAGAATGTCCGGTCGTCGGTGTGGTTAGTCAGCATACCCGGGAGTGGGCCGCTTGGAAGGGATGTTCGCCATAAGTTTGTGTAGACTTTGTGATAGTCATCTAATGTAGAGAAATTACCGGCCTTTTATTAGAATTAGCAGCGTACTTGGCCTCATACAATACCGGTAACGATATTTGATGATTGGTGATTGCGATACGGAGTACAATTTATTGGTTGAAGAATTGTTACGGGCACTTGCGCCGATATGTAAATATAACTCTGAATAGATTTTGGTATTCAAAATGCGTGTTTTTGGATTTTATAGAGCTGATGTGAGTTCGTATAGTGTGAACCGAGTTGTTGTAATATGTGTAAAATAAAACAAAGTGGTTTGTAATAGGTAATGCAGCGGAAATAGTATTCAATTTCTCATGCTTACATGCGTCGGTTAAAAAGTGTGCACAAATTCGTAATATAATAGCAAACCGGAAGAGGTGAAAAACAGGTCCCGAGAATAATAGCAAGAAGAAGAAAGGAAAGAAAAGTAAGAGAGAGAGGGGGAGTAAGAAGGACTTATGATGATTCGTCTTCTGAAAGGGCAATTTTAGGTACAAGACAGTTCATCTCGACTTACCGCAATGACAGCTTCTACGGCTTCCTGGGTCTCATTTTGAATGATGGCACCCAACTCGAAAACAGGAGGCTTCCATATCGCCTGGTCCTCGGCGATTTTCTTATCAGCAAGCTTTCCAGTAGGGTAAGGGGCCACGCCGAAGGGATAAGTTCCGTAGAGCCAGCCTTGCCGCTTCTCGTTGATCTCCGAGGTTCTCGTTATCAAGTTGAAAACGTTTGGTGTGGAGAAAGGTAAAAGCTTGTTGGTGTCGATATTGACAGCGGGTGCAGGAACAGCTCGCACTACTGCAGCGAGCAGTATGGTTGAGACGGCCGCCTTCATCGTCTCACTCAAGAACAAGGTGTTTTCCTTGATTTACACGAGACGAATTCGAGATTGGCTGAGCCACGGGTGAGACAGGCCAAGCGACGAGGGACAGGTCAAGATCCAGCATATCACCATCTTATATACTCATTCAATGTTTACTACTGCGTCGTATCATGCAAACTCGAGGGCGTTGCCCAGATAACGTAGATGGCGTGAACGAATGCCATGACCTGCTCAGTTGGTAACGTAACAAGCCCATCTCTTGCCCCGATAGGGTTTTCCTTGAATCCTAGGAGAAGGAATACCCACATGGGGCCTCCGAGTGTTTATTCATCGAGGAAACTTTCTTCCCTGAGGATTCTCTTTGCGGAATATGATCTGTCTCTCGTCCCTTTCACCGCCAGACGAACGGACCAGAGTGCGCATGTACTGTAACATACTGCCTATCTAGCTTGGATACGCAGTGAAAAATAGTCCCTTTCCTGTCGAACAGATGGCATTCTTCTCCTGTGCCTTTCGTATAAAAAGGCTGCGCCGCACTTATGCTGCATCTGGGCTAGTCCGGTGGTTCAAAACTAATGTAGCGTGCTACTGTATTAGTGAGACCAAAGTTCAGATATAACACTACCTACCTCGCCTACCTCGCCCACCTACTTACACGGGCAGATACGGGATGCTTCCGCCGCAAAGCCAGCAATGCTAAGCAATGCCCGGCCCGTCTGGGCGTTAAACTAGCATAGGATAGGGTAGGAGTCGGTAGGACGACTGCCGGACCCGCAGCCAACCCACAACTCATGGGCATAATACCCTACATAAGTAGGTATGTAAGTGTTGTATCTACGTGCAATCTGCGGCCCTAATTGCGTAAGTAGGTATGTGACTAATGGCCACATACCGAGAATGGGTAGGCGTTAGGTACTCTCGGGAGTCTGCGCGAACATGTTTACTTGCCCAACTTGGCAGCAGCAGCAGTATGCATCTCTGCCTTAAACATATGGGTATATAGATACCGGTACTGCTTTGCTAGGATTCCTACCAGATCCTACGCTGCAGGGAACTGGAGTCTAGTATAAGCATGGGGACTTCATATGTCTCTGATGGTCGATGCTCTTCGCTGCATTTAGGATAGCGTGCTAGGTAGAGCTTCCTTGCGAGTCACAAGTTCGCAAAGAAGCCGATATGTGCCATGGGACTGGTACGTTGAAGTGAAGGGTGAGGCGACGGTATTACGTAGAAGTGCGGCGAGGTACCCGACGATGAGGAGAACAAGATCAGAGCGAGTGATGCACGGCTGCGGCACAGCATACCTATTTTATACAACACGACAGAACAGAATTACTGTAATAGCCCGCCGAGATGATCGACGGGCCAATGGCTGGGCGCCGCTAGGATATCTGCCGCAACCATGGACCTTGCTTCTGGGGGCAAATGGGGACATGCGGACGCACTGTTCTCATTACTCACGGTGTCTTGATGAGAATTCCCCGTTTTCGCACATGAGGCTAATTGGATACGCGTGCGATGGTTTAAAGGTTGTTGCTATGGTGGTGTTTTCCCGTGATCGGCAGAAGAGGAGGCGCATTGCACTGCAGAACATTTCAAATTATGCTAGACAGAGTGGACAAAGTCTGATCGATAGGCGCTTCCACAATGACACTTACTGTAGTATCGTGCAAGACGCGCATGCCGTAGGCAGCAGGATCTGATCGGATTGCTGATCTTATGTGTCGTCGGTATCTACAGTACATTAGGCAGCGGATGATCCGACAGACCAGAAGATCTAGGAACGGCTGCCCTAGTGATAAAAGGGCTAATTCGCAGAGCCATATCCCCGCCTATATCTGTCAAGTTAACCTCGAACCCCAGCTAGTTATAACGACAACCCTTGGGAACTTATGTATGCTTGCGTTCTGCTGTCCATCGGCATCCTACGCCCGTATGACCACGGCGTGCATGTTGCAACCCGTTGTGTAACATCACATCACGGTCCCGACACCACTTTGTCCCAGGCCGGACCTCCTGTTAAGGTCGGCTCCGAGATAAGAGCTACTATGCAGACTATTCTTTACATAACTTATGGCTCTAGGTATCCTTCGAATCTGCGGGGGCCGGTCAAGGCATGACACGGGTACAGGGTTAGATAGTGACCGGGGTCGGGCGACTGATCATGTCGTCTCAGTTGGGGCCTGTGCCAATCCGGGCAATTGAGACACCACAATGCTCCTCAATAAACTTAACGTAGGCTTGTGCCTGCTGCGGCAAGCTCTCCTTCAAGGTATCATTAGCTCGACGCGCAAACTAGCTGCACTCATAGCGGACCAAATCGATGTGAGCTTACAAACGTGTTTATGCCCTTGATCGGCTGCTGCCATCCCTTCATTTCATGGTACACTACCTCACACCTCTCTAGGATACTGGGGTCGGCTGGATAGTTTTCGATCTGATCTCCTGTCTCCGGATCTTTGTATGCTATAGCAAGCTAGAGCATTATTAGCATGGATGTATCTCCAGGGCTCCATGACATACTTTGATGACAGGGAACTTGTCAAGGATGCTGAAGGAGTTGGTCAATGATCCACCCTACTGCCATCAATAAGGTGAGGTACGCACTCGAGCTTGGAAAGATTGAGGCACGTGTAATGATTGACAGCTGTCGAGTACTTCAAGGCGACGAGATCGATCCATCCACATCGGCGCTTCCTTCCCGTGCTAGTATCCCACTCTTGACCTACAGTACGTATGGACTAGCGCATTAGCATGGAGATTTCCTGGTCAATGGAGGTCTAGGTGTACCTATTGTCTGCATATCGATGCCAATATCGCTGTGGTCCTCTGTTTTAAATATCCCCCCATCAAGTCGTGTAGTCTAAGCTTAGAGTGAGTGGCCGGTCTAACAATCTCGTCGGTTGACGACACATATCATAGCTGCTCTGTGCTGCTGATCGAGCGAAGAGGGGTGTGGCGAGACATACATAAGCCTCAGCAACACCGATTATCTGACTATTTGCTTTAGTTAGTAAATTGAACAGCGAGCTGTGGTAAGTGGCTATAAGAGATACATAGGTAGGAGGAATCTTGACAATTTGCCATTCGATTGTGGGAACTCACTCGATCTTCTTAGGGTGAATAGCAAGCCCCGTGAATATACCCCTTAGCATACAGTCATGAGCACACAGCATTAGTACGTGTTTGGAAGGCTGGCATACCCCAGGCTTGTATTGCTACTTATGACATCTTTTTCCATGCACAGTTAGTAATTCTTAGCGGAAGAGAGTAGGATCGAAAGGGTTATAGCAAGACTCGCGACTATGAATCTTTCAACCTGATGTAATACACTTACAAGGAAATGCGCCGTAGTTCATATCGAACATCAAGGCACTGTGGCCTTCTACGAGGAACTTGGTGTTAAAGTCCTGCATGTTCTGAACGAGATGGACGGCATCGACGCAGAATCCAGCCAACTTTGGCCTGTACTCTCGGAAGCGCTGAATCTCGCCCTCGGGGTCATACTGGAGTGCATGCCCGAACCGCTCTCCGTAGAGATTCGCGAGCTTTCTCAGCTTTGTTTCAAAGGCTTCTTGGTCAAATATCTCGTAGAGACGAATGCCATTTCTCATAGTCGCTGTACTATCATGTTGCCACGGGATAAATGAATCGGGGGTTTCTAGAGCTCTCACAGCGGCGTAACTAGAAAGTCCACTTAGTATCGTACGGAGAGCGATATAAGCAGGCTATCCTCACAGATCTAGATCAATCTGACACCGGTCAGATATGAGTATGCGTTCTTGTACACTTGGTATGCTTCTAGCCTCGAACGTTTCCAGTTCCTTGAAGAACGTAGGAACTTCAAGCCATTAGCTATCGCTATCACATAATCTACACGATCACTGGAAGCGATGCAGATTTGTTCAGACGTACTGTGTAAGACGACACCAGAGCCGATGAGGTTCATGCAGGTTGGGTTCATGAGGCCAGATGGGAGCAGATGGGAAACCAGATCAACGCCATCAGTAGTTTTCCTATATATTGAGAATTTAGTCCAAGTAGGATCGTGCAGAAACTAAAGCAAAATTGACATGGAGGTAAACGCATAAACGACCTACGAATGCACAGCATCGTGCTGTTTAGAGCGACGACGTTAGCAAGCATTCGATGCAAGCACTACAGGTTAGGCCGAGGTTTGACAGGACAGACGTACTCCTCCCGCTGTTTCGATTCCCATGTTAGAACGTCCACGTCTGATGCACTGAGCTCGCGGAATGGCTAAGCTAATAACTCACCTGCCCGTGCGCAAAGCTGAAAGCGGCCCTCGTTGACCAATTTCTCGGCGAGTTTGTCTATGAGTGTAGTCAGTATGTACGGCATGGATTTCTCATAGGAATCAATGCTAGAACGAATGGGGATATGAAGCATTAATGAGTACTTACGTTTGCCCTCATTCCTGCGACCTGTGTTAGTTCCTATGGGAGCTGAACGTAAGTCGTGTGTAGCTCACCCCCACTGCGCGCCTAACTGTGGATGCCGCAGATGTCAGTGTTTCGGGTCGACTGAAGTTGGACTGTATATTTGTAAGAGCCTTACAATGATTGTGGCCATGATATAAATAAAAGAAAGCTTTCAGTTTTTATGGTGAGCCTTGATGCGAGGATGAAAGCATGAACGTCTCCGGCCACCATGAGGGGTTATGATTAAGCTAGCTACCTGCTCTGTCATCGGTTGGTACATTAAATTGGGGACAAATTCATGAGACTTCAACACACTGAGAATAGCAACATAATACCTATAGCAACTTTTGTAATGTTACATATGTATAACACCAGATCACGATTGCTTGTCTCTTGCATAGACAGCATGTATAGATAGTTCTGGGGTCTGCGAGCTCCCGCTAGATATATCAACCCATTATTATTGCACCCACTTACTGCATGTAGGTCAGTCACCTGTATGTGCAGAAATTCACTAGGGATTTCAGAAGACGAAAGCTTACTGAGAGGTATTGTATTTTACCGGCGAATATATGTTTATACCTCCTTGTTTACCAGACTAAACTAAGCCATTAGACTCTTGGGGCGGCCGTCTATCACATCAATGGTGAATTGGGGGAGTCTATGGACAACTGCTCTAAGAATCAGACTTGAAAGTGACCCAAACCTGAAACATCTGCAGAGGGTTCCCGTCTTTCTCCCAATCCATATCAGAGAGAGTGATGATATCATTAGCCTCAGGCCCCTCATTTCGAATGCGCGCAAACATCTTCGCCTTGACCTCCACAGCAGCGATCTTATCCTTCCACTGTGGCTGTCCGCACACCTCGCGCCAGAGCGTCTCCCAGCTCTCTCCACTGTGAAAGCACATGTGCCGCTTACCGCGAAAGAGGTGCTGAGGGCCCGCAACGTCGCGGCTACCGGCGTGGGTGCCGAGCACGAGCACAGGCGCGCCCGTGTCCTTCCTTAGGAGCCGCAGACAGCGGTCGACAATGCGCCTGTGCTCTTCGAGGTCGAAGAGGTGGAACACGGCCGAGATGTTCAGGATTGTGACCCTGTCATCGAGAGATGCAAGCTGATCTCCCGTAAGGTCTCCCCTGTCCGCGAAGACATTTCCGGGGCATAGGAAGTGATCTCGTGGAAGCTTATCCCCGTCCCTAAACAGCTCGAAGCCGAGCTCGATGAACTTTGGTTCAATGTCGCTGGCCCAGAGCCGGTGGGGTGGTACACCATCTGCAGCCAGCTTACGCAACTCTTGCCCAAGGCAGCATCCGCAGTCGAGGAAGAGAGGTTCTGGTTTTCCGGGAGTAAGGGGTTGGCAAAGGGGACCCAGTACGTGTTCTTTGTAGGCCTCATGGCGAGCGAGGTCTAGATCCAAGAACCGGAAAGTGCCCATACAAGGGTATGGGTGCTGGGCGTATCCGGCATCGCGGAGCTTCGTGATATGGGAGACCTGGTCATGTTCAGGGATACCAGAGTAGGAGCTTAAGAGCTCTGACATGGCTTTGGGCACATGATGTAATGTCTTGGAGTATCGCGGACTCTCAGCAGGCGCCTGCATTGTTTGTACAATCTACTAATTGTTGGTAAGAAATGGGTACGCCAACAAAATTGATCTTCTTAATACTGAAATTAACAACCTTTTGTTGAGGGTCTATTTCATCTACATCGCCAGGCTTAAATAGCTTATGACGCCGCGTTACTATGTAACTGGAGAGCCCACATCGGTTCCGAAACGGCTATAGACAGGCTTATTATGATTGGGGGCTGCATCGTAGCGATTGCCGGCAGGGGACAATAGCAAAAGTAACCTTGGTCAAGCACTTGGATTTTAATTGTAAGACGGCTATAAACACCGAGTCTTTGCTATGACCGTGAAGGGAATAAACTTGCTGCCTACCTAGGACTTAGAATACATTGGAGAGGATGGGAATAACATAACACAGCGCGGGCTGAGTGGGTTCAACTCTCTGGACCTCTTATCGATAGGTGGCGGGGCCTAATTTTTATTTTCCGCCGGGATGCATGTCGAGATAGCGGCAGGTACCGTAGTTCGTGGTTACCGAATTTGCGATGCCTCAGGAAGCAAGTTGAATTGGCCAGTACTAAACTTCCACGGCTGTATTCAGATATTTACCTTTTTTTCTTCCTTTTTTTCTATTCTTCACGACCTACCTGCTTAATCACGCCCAAGATAATTTATACATATCTCTCGCAACCTACCTAAGTGTACAGCGACCAATCCTCAGAGCCAAACATTGTGAACCACCCTGCCCAGCATGGCAGCCCACGAGGCCAACATGCCGTTTATACGGAACCTCGCATCTAGCGGTTCGTAATTGTTGCCTCCAAGCACCATTCAACCTCCATCTAAACTAACACCACTCGCTCACGACACCAGATCGCAAAACCCGCACCTCAGCCCTCGAAAGCCTGCGCACATTCGTCTCCGCGGCCGCCACATCCTCCCGCCTGACACACCTCGACAATCTGAAGCTATGGAAGGGCCTCTACTACAGTCTCTGGATGTGCGACCGGCCGATCCCTCAACAGAACCTCTGCGCCGAGCTAGCCGGTCTGATCAGCGTGCTGCCCGATGAGGCTGTAGGACCGTGGCTCGCCGCGTTCTGGGAGACCGTCGGCCGCGAGTGGACAGGGATCGACGTGTATCGGCTGGAGAAATTCATGCTCCTTGTCCGCCGGATGCTGGGCGCTAGTCTTGCGTGGGTGTGCGAGGTCTTGCCCAACGAGACAATTACAGGAGAGACGAAGAAGAGTCGCCGGAGTCGTGCGAGGATAGACGTGCTGCTCAGAAATCTCGCTAGCTGGCCCTTTGAGACCGAAGACAACCTCTCAAAAGTGCCGGTGGGGCTACGACTTCACGTGCTCGACATCTGGGTTGACGAGGCGGAGAAGCTAGGTCTGCTGGACGCCGAAAAGACAGGCGAGCCGGGACGTCAGTTCTTAGATAGGCTGGGGCTGCTTGTTGAGGCGCAGACGAGATCTACGTGTAAACCCGTGCGCCTCCGTGCTAAGGAGATGCTGGCAGATGATCGCTTGCCGTGGAATGTGGACGACGCGGGAGGCGACGACGAGGTGGGCAAGTCAGCCAAGGACAGTTCCGGCGATAAGGATAGCTGGGATGGCTTTGATGACTAATTTGGAAGACAAAGACGGAGAAAAGCCTGATCTACGAAGAAAATATGTTGGGGTACGTGTAGTGAACAGAGCATGGTGATGGGCTGATCCTTGGAGTTTCGGCGTTGGCACGGATATATCCTCATGCGGATTCTTGTAGTTATCTCTACATTGCGTTACTACCTTTAGCCATTTGTGTATCAAACAAGTACATTGGACAGTCGTCGCCCGAAGTAAAGTCCCTGTTGCGACGCGACTATACTTCGCTAACACTTGAAATGGCAAATACTCGCAAAACTCCCGTGGTAGTCCAATTGTCGATAGACTATTCCTCTAGCTCCTAATCCTCCGTCCGCTGTGATTAAGTTTGTTCTCTATGGGGTATCTTTATCTCGCTAGTTGCCTTCAATCCTCAGTCTATTAATATGGTATATGGTAAAGAAATAAAATGAGATATACGCCTAAGCATCTCTCCATTTGGGAGGCCCGAAAGATTCATACCGTCCACTTTTGGACAGCACCGTGCCAAGGCCGGGGTGGATCTCAACTTGAAAGGGTGCAAAAGGAATACGTTCGCCATCAATACTGATGTAGCCGTCAGTCTGGTTACGCGGGGTGAAACGGTAGGCGACAATTTTGCGGTATGAAAGGAGTTTCTTGTCGAAGAACGACTCGTTCTCGACAGAAGTCATGAGATCTATGTATTTAAGTATCGGTATGTCTCCATCGTTGGTGACAAGGTCCATTAGTCCGTCATTGATACATGCGGCGGGGAAAAAGTTGGCACTTGGAGCCACCCATGCCATCTGGTATGAAAGTTAGTAAGTATAATGTGTGTCTCCTTTACTGACTTGGCGATGTAGTTGCAGGAGTAAAACTCACATTTCCGCAGTAGAAGTTGCCTAGTTTATCATGCGAGGCCACCTGCCAATCTTCAGGTAGCTGGTCGTTGACTGTGCCGAAGCGTAATGGTGGCAACCCTTCTGCTGCATCTGGCCTCGAGACACTAGATAGCGAGGGCTCATCGTTGTTTTTCCCCTCTTCGTCGCTCTGGATCCGTTTGTAGTGAGCCTTGATCTCATCCTTATTCTCAAGCTCAACCTTCACGGCGATATCGCAAGGATACACCTTCTTGCTGAAAATGCGCTGGGCTACACCTAGGTCGAAGCGTTTCGCGCCCAGCCACCGCATGTTCTCAGTTCCAAGATCGGCTTCCGCGATGATACCAACCGATTGACTCAAGAAGCTTAACATCCGTCGATCGCCCTGGGTGACAGTCATTAAATCCATAGGAGTTCGAACACCTTTTACTACAGCCAAAGCCGAAGCCCCCGCGGCATTTGAACCGTTTAGGTTGCAGCTCATGGCATTGCCACTACCACAAGGGATATGTGCGATGGCAACCTTTTGCAGGGCACTGCGTGCGTCAGGCCGTTTACCGAAGCCGTTGAAAGCCTCGTAAGCAAGCCCGTCACCGGAGCAGATCACCACGACATCGTAGGCGTCGATGTCTAGAGCCTCGCAGATATCTATTCCTTCGCCGCTGCGTGACGTAGTAATCACATCCAGAGTCATCCGAGCTGCTTCGAAAATGGGCTTGACATCGTTTTCCCATAAGCGAGTTGCACCCCCAGGACCAGCATGAGGGTTTATAAGGACCTTGGCGCGTCGCTGACGTGGAACTTGGCTATAGACACGATTGAGGAGGCCCGCGATAAAAGGCTGTGTCTTGAATATTGGTACACTGTCGAGAGAGTACTTAAGCCTCGCGTGGTGGACATTTCCCTTGGATTTCTCGGCGGCGTAATCGATGACAAGTTGCTCGTTTTCGGCAGAGATCCAGAGGACATTGTAGTACGGTATGGTCATGGCGACCGTTGGTTTAGTGATAGGAACACCGCAGAACCTAGTTTCACGGCGGTCGGGACTGCCTCCATCTAACAAATCGGTAATTAATTAGTCTAAGGCGTACGACAGAATCAGGGGTATTACGCTTCAGACAAACCTTCGTAGATATTTAGTCCGTCTAGGCGTAGAGTCAGGAAGATGGTGCCCACCGTCAAAGTGGTAGACTCTGATCCTTCTGGACCAGAGGCTGGGTCTGCGGCTGCAGAGGCCGCATGCGATTCAGACATATTATTATTATTGTTGTTTTTGTTTTTGTAAAACAGCCCAAGAACGAGTGAATTGAATTAAGTGAATCTGCTGAAATTGAAAAACGAGTGACTGGTGAAAGGAGAATAAATGATCACAGACTGAAGAGAAGAATATTGGAGCTAGGACAGCAATATCCAGAAATTGAGAGTCTCGAGGTAGCTCCGTCCGTATTGTATCCGTTAAGGCTGACGCGCCGAGCTAGGCAAGTACTACCTAAGGTTAGTTACAATCAGGTTAGTCAGATACATAGCGAGACGTTTCGTTCTGCAGGGGCTTGACGATTAGTATTCAGACTCGGGGAGTTGTCAATCTTGCATTCCAAGACTTGATTCTCAGGCCTTATTTTTACTAGTAGACTTATCCCTAATATGATAACTAGCTTCGGTAGAGCTATGCTTAATCACCATCTAGGTACATGTCCTTTTTCACAGGCGAGACAGGTAAGGACGAATTCGCTGCCAAGATCTCCTCCACTCCGGGGTCCACGGGTCCCGTCACAACGGGGCCGAAGCTGTGGACCCAGGGTCTGCCAAGGTTTGGATAAATTGCGAGCCTGCAAAACAAGGATGCCAAATCACTGGCTACATCGTAGTAGTTAATATTGAGGCACCCAGTTTACCTAATAACGATGAATCGAGTCCTAAAAGTTTAGATGTCTACCTCAAGAAACGAACCCGTGCAGTAGCCGGTGAGACTGGTATCTAGGTGTGTATTAAAAGGGATAGAAAAGTCTGTCTAAAATATCTAGTCTAGAGACAGTACAGTGATCACGATGCTATCTACATCTTCTATATCTTACTACTACTCCCACCCGTCACACGCTTCGCTGTATTCCGAGTGCCGTCTAGAACCATGGCAACATGATGGCTAAGCGCAACAATATCGCCGCTCTGATCAAAGACCACCACCTCGTAGTCATACCTCCCGTTCTTGATGTGCTTCGTCTGGACGCGCACATGCAGCCACTCGACGCCCTCCGGCGGCAACGTCTTCTTGATGTCTAGATTCAGCGTCAACGTCGGAAACCACAACCAAGGCTGGCTGTCACCGTCTTTCTGCTTAGGTGGCTCCTTTCCTCCCGTCTCCTGCTGTTTAACCAAGCCTTCGATCAACTGCGGCCACATGTCCGAGACAAACCCAAGGCCCTCCGAAGTGAAGCGCTCGCCGGATTCGAGCCGTATCCACTCATCGACGAGGTTGGGCCGCGCCTGTCCACCCCGCGGAACGTGCATACGGACGCGATTGACGGCCTTCCGTAATTTTGGGTGCGGCAGATTCTTTAGCACAACCCAATTCTCGTCTTCGCCCTGTGTAGCTAGTTTTGTGAAATTTACAGGCGGCGAAGGGAGAGGCGGATCTGGCGACCACCCCGTGCGTAACGTAAGACCCGCCTCAGTATCCATATTCGTGTTTGTCAAGTACGCGACGACCTCCTCGCGTCCGTCCTGTGTCAACGAGATATGAATTGTTGACGTCTGCTGGCCCAGCTTCATATCCCTAACTGCGAAGGTGGCAGATCCCGCGTGTGTACGCCGTAGGAACTCCGCGTGTAATGTGATGGTGTGAGGCTGGTTCTGCTTAGCCAAGGTTGTGCTGAAATGCGCCGATGCGACGCGCAACAACGTTGCCGTCACCACACCACCATGCGTTACTGTGCAATTTCTTTAGTAGCTGAAACGTTTTATTGTTTTGATCGAAAATTGGGACTGCTGTTGTTGTTATTGTTGCTGCCAGAGTGTGTAGTGACTGACCTGAGCCGATGCACCATTCTGAAGGGAAGTGAGCTTCGTAGGCGTGTGGACCTGTAGCTTTTACAGCCGTAGCTTCGGCAAATGTGGGCGCCATTATCTCTCAAGAGGTATTTTCAGATACTCGTAAGTCGTCCTCGTCCGATAAATGATGATACACGAGAGTCGTGCATCATGAGTGAAGCGTATTGTCCTCAAGACACGACATCCTAACACATGCCAGGGTGGGGGCTTAGTCTAGGCTAACTGACATTCAGCAGCTTAAGCCGAGGTAACTTTCGAGCCTGGCCTCCCGTAGCTATGCAAGTCTTGAGGAAACATGAAGCAGGTTACGCATTTCATCATCGGCACTAGTAATCCAAGTCTCTCTGCTCGTGATCTACGACTCGGGTTCTTTTTGTTTTTACTCTCTTCTGAGAGACTTTGCGAGTTTAGGCATCCCTGATTTAGCTCGAAATCCCCTCCCGGTTGTGTTAGTTGAACAACACAACTAGCAGCAAACTAAACGTCATGAAATATACGCTGTTTTTCTTCCATTTTTCTATATTTACAGTTTTTTTGTCAAGGTTATTAAGATTTAGATTATTAAGATATGATGTGATTGAGGACATAAATGGTACGTCTTGCTCAATCGCGTGGTATAATGCAAAGTGTTCAAAGTGGAAAAACCTGTAGGGCGGCGCCGGCGCTGTGCTTTGTAAATGCAAATGGGCGTCAAGTTTGATTGTTCTGGTTTGCCCAAATTCCACTCTTTTCTATACGTATGTAGCCGAGGGTTCGACATTGTGCAAAGTGTCTGATAATCTGCCAATTCCCATCTTGAGGAACTCAAAAGGAACAAAAACGCCAGGCGAATGAATGATTACCGGTGTGATAATACACGCCCAAGAAAAAAGAGGAAGAATTTCTTGGGTCAAATCAACATTTTCCTTCAAGAATGCTCGGCGTAGAGGACTTCTAGCAATTTCATCGCTACCGTCTCTGTCGCTTTTCAATCGGCCCCCCAAACTCTTCGCTCCGGCGTTTTCTATTTCGGTGGTCTTCGTTACCACTGCGCAGCTCTCGATGGCCCTCTGCACGAGGAACACCGCCGCGCCCGCCCCCACCACGCCCAATGTCATCATGTCTACCATTCCCTCCATCTCCTCGGTGACGTAGTTCCCGCGGCCCATCGCGCCCATTACCTATAATATCTCCACGGACCGGCAACACCTCCCGACCTGTGTTCTGTTCTCGTCCAGATCTACGTATAGACTCCTTCTCCCCTTCTCTTCCGTGGCCAGATCCACCACCAGACTTGCGATCTCTGTAATCTCGATGGTCCTTTGATCTATGGTCTCTTTCGGAACTCCGCTCTCGACTGCTCCTTCGTTGAGAGCGGGAAGATCGCTCACTCCCATCATGCTCCCTGCGGCCGCGTTCATGGTCGCTTCGACTCGGACGCTCCTTCAGGGGGAAGGGATCAGCTCGCTCTGAGACAGGAGTAGATACTGGCGAAGCACCTGTGAGAACTTGGGCATCTGAGCCTGCTAAACTAGTTCTTGAGCCCTTAGAGCGAACGTTCGGCCCCCCCTGCAGAATACTATTAATGCCTGATAACTGCCTGCGACTGTTACGAGAGCGATCGGCAGCTGTTGCCGGCCCAGTTGGTGCCGACATTTGATTATTCTCAGCTCCGGCGGGCTTTGACAGATTGGGCGGAGGTGGCCTGTGACCTGGTGCACTAGCAAGTGGAAGTCGGTCTGTTTGTAATGGAGGAAGGGATCGACTTCCCTGGTGCGGACCTCCAGGAGCTGAGGATTGTGGAGCTATCTGAGCTATGCGGTCCGGGTGAACGGGTGCCGGAGCTGGCATTGGAGGCGCATATGCCGATTGTGATGGTGATGGGTTTCCACCCATACTAGAATTTAGAGCTCTTAATCGATCTGGGTGCATTCCTGGTAATGCTGCTGCGGATCCGGCACCTGGTGAACTTGAGATAGGGACTTGTTGCATTCCATTCTGGTTGCGACGTTGTCTAGACGACGAAGGCCCAGTAGGAGGATGATGTCTTTCGGGCGATGGTGGCCGGTGGACAGGCTCAGGACGTGCTTGTGGGATGTTCACGGGGCCACGAGCCATAGTACGGCCGCGTCCCCGAGGGCCGTCCGGCGGATTACCCACGTCATTGGTTGAGGGAATTGAGCTGAGACGACCATATTCGGGATCCTGCATGTTCAGTCTACCATGTTCTGGCTCGCCCCGAGTCGAAGATGTCTGACCAGAAAGGGCAGATGTATCTCGAGACCGATCAGCCTCGTGATCCCCAGTTCGACCGCCCCTTGTTGGTGTCCCTTGCGGCTCGTTTCGCTGGTCACGACTCTGAGTATGATGATCACTACGGTGCGCACGACGGTCGTCTCGTGCCAGCTCACCACCATAAGTGTCAGAACGGTCTCCCCGTCTCGGCGAAACAACTCGCGAAGAGTTACGGTCTCGACTGTCCTCTCGATTGTGCCGGCTGTCGTTTAGTAATGGAGCCCGGGCTGGTTTCATTGCTGGGGAACGATCGTCAGATCGTTCAGCATTAATAAGCCGAGCGCGTTCAGGGTTGACTGTTGGTCCTGGAAGTTCGGGCTGGGAAGGTGGTGCCATTGGTATTGCAGGAACGGGTACGTCTCGTGTATCTCTGCCAGCGTCGCTGCTTCGTAATAGATTCGCACCTGAGGGTACTCTGTCTTTCGCCTGATGAAGGTCACGATCTTGAGGACCAGATTCCATGTGCCGCGTTGAGTCTGAGCGGTGCGGTGGTCGGTCTCTTTCTGATCTATGAGATTCACGAGCCTGCGATTCCGGTAATCGACGATCAGGCGTCTGATATTCCCGAGGTCTAGGCGGTCGAGAATCGTCAGATAACCTATTAGATCTCGAATCACGTAGATCCCGATTGTCCCTTGGGCCAACATCCCGTGTTTCTCTAGTTTCTCTAGGATCTCGGTGTTCCCTTGCCTCACGATGATCCTTGACTTCCCTGTGGTCCCGAAGGTGTGTTGTCTTTATTGTGCCGAATTGGTCGTGAGTAAAGTGGGCTGGAAATGGTACTTCTGGTCGGCTTGGAAGCCCATGCATTCCACCCGGCATTGAGGCAAAGCTCAATGGGCGTCCAGATTCTGCTCGTCCACTAGGTGCTGTAGCAGAAGCGGGTGCTACACCTGGAGTCGAGGATCTACTGGGGATGTGCTTCGGATCTCCTTTTTGAGGTCCAGGAACCGGGCCTTGACGCTGTGGTGGCGGTGGTCGTGTGGCAGTTGTATCCTTTGGGATGGCGCCAGTTGACTGAGAGACTAATAAGATATTTCCGTCCTTCACTTCGCCATCTTCTTCATCGGCATTAGGCTTCGTTCGTGTCGCCGCACTATTAAAATGTGAGAAAATGCTTGACAATTCCAGCTAGCGATTTTGTTTCAACGTTTGGACCGACCTTGTAACTTGAGACTTGAATTCTGGAGCATTTGGCCTGAGACCTGATTGTTGAGACGACTTGCTGGCTTCGAAACCCTTCCTATCGTCGACTGCATCGCCGCTCTTATCTCAGTTAGATACAAATCACCTTGTTGTTCTTGGGGCGACTTACAGTATTGGGTCGAAATTCCTGAACCATCACCCACTTTGTTGAGCGTTTTTTGAGCGCAGAGATTGCAGTATTTGCAGTTACCGCCAAATCCACCCGATGGCCCTGACCATCATCATTGTCAGACTTAGTAGCAGCTTCACGTTCAGCTATTCTAGCAAGGCTCGTATTCAGCTGTCGACCCATAAAATCTACTGAAGGGAAGTATTCCAGTCCATATTTGAGCACCGTGATCGCATTTCGAATATGCATCCACTCGGTGTCACCGAGGCAGGCTTTGAGAGCTGCAAACAAATTTCGATGCCATGTCCAAAGCAGGTCGCGGAATTCGTCATGTGCCATGAACGTAAGTGGCTTTCCACTCTCATCTAAAGTCGTCGCAAAACCGAGTCTGCCGTGCCCAATTGCTTCTTTCTCATATACTTCCTTCTTCGTGTGCCAGACAGACAGCTCTCCGAGTGTAAGCTTGATAAAACGACCTAGAAATTCGGCTTCCCGGACCGTACAACCGAATATCATTGATCGTAGCCTATTCACGTTGAAAAGACGGTTGTAGAGACTTGATAATTTGAAATGTGAAACACGGTTGAAATGTAAGAATCTGATGATCCGGTGGCAAAAATCGGCATCTCCAGGTGACAACAGTGTCCGCGGGAGCAAACATTCCTCGATGAGAGTGTCGGCTATTGAATCGGATTTGGCAGAAGAGTTGAACCATATCGGACTCTGCTTAATGAGCAGGAGCTTCGTTTTCGTTACGCGTTCTTTGCAGATGCTTGCTTCGTCGGGTACCTCTTTAGAAAGACGTTCAATGGCGGCCATTTTTGCCTCTTTCCGGTTCGCACCATTACGACTCATATCGCTCCGATCCCTTTTAAGTTCATCACGCTCTTTGTCTAGTTTTGAAAACTCAGCCTTATAGCTATCTATCGGGACGTCAAGATCACCAGTTTGTAGGGCCCAGAACAGAACGAAAAACTCTGGACTGATCTTCTTCCATGTGTTCTGTGGAAGCAAAGGCTTCACTGCTTCAATGATGGGGTTGAGAACATCCAGGAACCGGTCTGAAGATTGACCCGAGACAGTCAGAGGTGGCAGGTGCTCGGAGGAGCCCTCAGTCGCCTCTGTGCCATCTATCGCCATGGCTTCTGAGGACTTGTCGGCGACATTAGGCACGGCAGAGCTATCATTACCATCCATCGGAGTATCACCCTCAACATCTACCGTTTGTTTGACAGGCATTTTATCGCCCGGACCCGTCAGATAGTACGTGAGGCTGGCTCGACCAATGAGAAACGCGAGGTTTGCCTCGAGTCCGAGATCTGTCATGAGAGATGGTATACTGGGTACACGTGCATCGAATTCCTCCGCGGATAGATTGTGCCGCAACAACTCCATATACTGCACAAGAGCTTGTTGAGAGTCGTCAACCACCGTCGCCAGGTATTTGATGTGCGCTTCGTCTTCGGGTAGCTGATAAATAGCAGATTGCCGATATTGCGCCATGTTGATTAGCAGCTGTGAAGCCATGTTTGTCTGAAGTAATGCCTTCATTAACCGAGAAGCACTTTTCTCAGACTCATAGCGCTTATCGCCTAGTCCGGTAAGGGTTTGACGTCGAAGAAGTTCACCACCACTGAGAGCAGACAGTTGGCTATCGGTAAAGTCAACGTCTGGGACGATTCCAGCCATAGAGGTGATTAATTCTCGGAGGATTACCAAGTCCGTAGAATTGCCGTGAGCCACCTGTTCATTCACGTACTGGATAACCGGCGTGGGATCCACGTTCTCATATCGTCGGAACACTTTGCCGGAGAATTTAGACAGTGCTTGTAGCCACCTGCTTGTAAGGAGGATGGAAGTCTCCTGTGTCCGGCTTCTTTGTTTGCCCCCCAATGAGCTGAGTAGGGACCAAACCAATACATCGTACCCCAACTCCGTAAAGTATTTCGTGCATTCAACAAAAGCTGTGATCAGGTTGGTATAAGCTTCTATCTGATCCAACGCGACCTTGCATACCACACCCGGGGATGATAGCGCAATCTTGGCAAGCTTTTTTGCAGACATAGGAATATTTTCAAGTGATAATCTTTTAAGTGTTGCAAGAGTATCCGACCTGGCAGTTTTAAAGGCTTGCTTCATAGCTTCCAGTCGTGATATTGACCCTTCATAGCATTCTGCATATATATTGTATCGCACTTGTGTTGGGTAATACTTGAGGAGGTCCCAGACCGCAGCTACAGCATCGACATTGGCATTCGTGAGACAAAGTGACGGCACCAAAGTCCGACGAAGCAAATCTTGCCAGCGGGAAACGTTGTGAGAGGACTTGTCATGGCTTAAGCTCATCACACCGATGCTTGCGATTTTCTTGACAAGAGTAGGATCTCTGCCAATGTTTACGCCGGAAATGTTGAGGAAGGTGTGGCATAGCGTGAAAACATCGTCGACTGTTTGACAGATGGGTACGTTATCAGACCATTCGTCGAGATAGAATCGATAAAGCGTCCCTTTACTGGTACCGTCTGCGTGTGGCCATCTTAAAACTTTGATAGGTGAACCCTCTACTAATCGAAGGTTACCCTTTGGCATACTGCCTTGGTCTATGGCTATGTCTGGTTTCACCATGACCGTAGCAGTGGAGATCATGTTGTTGGGCCGAGAAGCTTCGTAAACTTTGTTGATCGAACAGAGTAAGATGCGGTTGATCGCAGGATAAATTTCGTCTGGGTATGCTTCAGGAAGCCAAGGAAATCGGCCGATGATAAAAAGCGCTTCTGGGATTGCGCCAACGACGAAGAGATGCGAAACAAGATCTGCCTTTTGAGCCTCCTTGGGCTCCGGAAGGCTGGTTTCGTCCTCCTGAGCTTGACCAGCCGTTTCTTGGGCCTTGTCGTCAATTTTCATAGCGCTGGACTCGCGTACCTTGGAAGTGGTCGGGAGCGTGTCATCTGTCAACGCCCCAGCCATTAGTAGCGCGTTCGGGATATTTCCTTCCCTAGCACTCCTCTCTTTCTCGGCAAGTTCGTCCTCCCGACGACTCCGAAGAGCATCCATATCTTCATCTGCAGGCCACAAGTGTGTATATAAGTCGGCCAAAGATATAAACCCAATTTTAATGAGGAACGCTGCGAGATAATACAGATTGGCTGGCAATGTTTCCCCCTTGTCTCTCGCATCAGAGGTATAAAAGCGGAACTTGAAGCCAAGCAGTTGAGCGGCAACTCTGTTCCCACAAGGCGGGAGCGTTCTGGTGGCCTTCATCCACGCAAGTGCCGGGCCATAACTTGGATCTGATTCCGATATACTGTCCTGTAAGCGTTGAAGTTCGTCAGCTTCGATTCGCCTACCCCCTAGCTCAAAGAAGGCATCAAGATGGATTTCTCGGGCTCTTTCCCAAAAAGCCATATCTCTCTTATGGGTCTGATCTTCTAGCTTGGCTCGCAGGACTTCCGTGTTGACATCTTCGTTCTGAGGCAATGCCCACATTGGCAACCCCCCAGCAAGCAATCTTTCTGCATGTTCAACTTGGTTGCGCGGCCACCATGAGCTTATGCGGAGGAGTCTAGTGAAAAAAATGAGATTTCTAAGCATGGTTGCAGAGAAAACATCGATGACTACGTCAAGGACGCGGCCAACATCCAAGTCAAATGTCCCTATCAAAGCTTTGATACGTTCCCAGCTTGCTTGAACGAGGACGAAGTCGTGATGCCCCTGAGACTGGTACGGTGTTCGGTATAATTCTGCGGCAAGTTTCGAATACCCTTCCGTTTCTTCTCTTAATAGGTTGTAGTTCGCTTGACGATAGAGCTGGTTGGTCGCATACTTGATCCCGAGCTTGACGAAGTTATCCCGTATCAGGCCAAGTTGTTGTAAAGCTGGTGCATCAAGTACTTCCCGCACAAGCTGTGGGGACAATTCAGTCGCAGCGATGAAGTCTCGAAGATTGAAGGTAGATGCTGTGTCATTCGAGTCAATGAAAATAGAAATAGTATCTAGAAAGAGCGTCTGAGCATCAAGAGTGAAGCTGACACCGAGGTCGGTTTCGGCTGGGGGCCCAAGAATCTGCTTCATGCAGCTGCCGGCATCAGTCGGCGTCAGGCATTTTTCCAGTACAGCGCGTGTGAACTCTTGCGAGATGGTAGAAATCTCTTCGAGATCTTCGTCGCTTCTTGATGTAATTCCATGATCGATGACTTCTTGACGCCCGCCTTGCTGCCATGTTGATAAACGGGCTTCGGTCAGGACAACGTAGTTATAATTTGCCGAAGTGGGTATCCGGGGTTGTTGGGTAGGCTGGTACACGATGGCTGAGGGTATGTGCGTCAGAGGGGGGGCGGGCTGAGCGGAGTGAAGTGCAGCTTGTGAGGATGAACTGGAGGGTCGAGCAACAGCCGGTGAAGCGGGCGCTCGATGATTAGCTCCAGCCCCAGCTTGAGGTCCTGAAGAGTCGCGACGATCGTGATTCCGCCTAGTATTCCTCCCACCACCAGGGCCCCGACGATGCTGGGACCCATCTTGGTAATCTCTATCGTGCTGAGCCAACCCAGTATCCGAGGGACGATGAGGCGCGGCTCGGTTGCCTGCCTCGGAGGCCCTGTCGTTGCGCTTCCGTTTTGGAGGCATGTTGAATGTGAATTAGAGACTATATGAAAACGTTGGTCATCTGGAAGAATCAAAACTCTAGGCTGGAATAATGCCGGCGTATAAAATGCGCAAAACGATCGAGAAACAGAGCGCGCATCGGGTAAGGGCTCACTTCGGTTTAACGAGGTCTTATCGATAGACGGTCGGATAGAATATGTGACCTGAAATATGTCGTTTCCAGGTGGCTTTATCGATGTGATGAAGAGATTCGGAACTGTTGGACTGTGGGAAATGAGGAGAGGGCCGGGGTTGAGTAACAGTCTTGAACAAACGAAAGAATGAACGACTGCATGTAGGTGTGTGCATAAGGAGCGAGTAGAACAAAGGAAGCGGGAGTGGGCTGGCTCTTAATGGTCTGCCAGCGACCATCGCTCTTTCCAACATACAACCATCCACGTGCACGGCAGCTTCAACGGGAGGTGAAGGGAGGGATGCCGAAAGCGTTTGCAGAGTTGTGATTGCGTGGTTGTGCTGGCAGGCGATGGAATTCGCTTCCAAGCAGAAACTGTCGCGTGTTGAGGTTGAGCAAGCAAGGCTGGACTAGCCTGTAAACCGCGTTGGAAGAACCTGGTAACCTTGGCCAGATTTGGGGACCAAGCAAGCCGCCACTGCAGCCTCATGGAGCTTTGACCAAGAAAAGAGGGCGGCACCAGATGCCTGCATAAGTATCTCCTATGTATGTACTCCGTAGGTACCTACCTACATAGGTACTTAGGTATTACACTACGGGCGTGTATGCACTAACCCTAGATGGGTACCTTTGAGCTCTATCAAGGTTGAATGCATATATAGATGTAGCTAGTAGGTACCTACTATATACTTACTTAGGTAGCATCTATGGATAGGTACTTGGAATAATTACTGTACTTGGTAGGTACGATACCTTATCTACTACTACCTAAGGTACTGTCTAGTACTGGCACCTACGAAGCATGTATTATGACTCACTCCAATTGGTGATGCGTATACATAGGTAGGTATAGATATGGGACATCATTCGTGGCTTGGTTCCAAGTCCCTAAGGTGCGTGCAATGAGGTAATAAGGTGTAGCTCTGGGGTGTGGCACTGGAGATAAGGAGCCGGTAACGGGCTCTTAACTCATTATGTAAGCCGAAATCTCTTGTTAGTGTTGGTTGGATGCTCCTTTCTCAGTAGTCATGGCTGGTGAGTAGAGTCATAACCACCTCCTAGTAGTAGTGAAACGTACATGGACGCGGATACTTAAAAGCGATTGTGTAATGTTGAAATTATCGGGATTCTAGGGGTTTGAACACTGCGCCATTGAACAGAAGCCGGGCTGTTTGTTCAAAGAACGAAGCACGTCTCGAAGCCCGAGAATACACCGTGCCATACCGCATTCACCTACGCCAAGTATTTATCTATCCTATATGAAGCCAGCAGTTCATGTCATAGAAACTGCTTCATTTCAGCTCTATAGCTTATCGCTGCAGCCCATCGCGAAAAGCTCCAGCGGCTAGATCACATCCTCATACTCTTTGCATCATTGTAATGGCCGCTCAAAACAGCAACCAAAATGGCTCTAAGCCAAAGTATAGTGAGTCCAGGAGATTCGTAGACCCCAAACCATAGTCCACCCCCTATCCGACATGAAGAATCATATTGAGCACAAATAACTCACTGTTCCAAAGCTAGGATCACGCAGCAACCGGAGAATCCCTTCGCATCTCTGATCCCGGAGCAGCAGATTGCCGTCATACCTAGCTTCACACTTGAATCAGGCGTTACGTTGCACAATGTGCCATTGGCCTACACAACGCGTGGGAAACTATCTGCCAATGCAGATAATGTCATGGTGATCTGCCACGCTCTGACTGGCTCGGCCGATGTGAGCGACTGGTGGGGGCCACTTATGGGCGGTCCTGGCCGTGTTTTTGACACGTCAAGATTTTTCATCGTGTGTATGAACAGCCTCGGCAGTCCGTACGGCACTGCGAGCCCAGTCACCGCTAAAGATGGAGATCCGGAAAAAGGAAATTACGGCCCTGAGTTTCCCCTGACCACCATTCGTGATGATGTTAAGTAAGTTCCTGTCATTCAAACCGAGTGTTAGAGAGTCCTGGTTAACATGACCTAGTCTACATAAACTACTTCTCGACGACTTAGGTGTGCGGCAGATAGCCGCGGTTATAGGTGGCTCTATGGGAGGTATGCTTGTTCTCGAATGGGCATACTTTGGCAAGGATTACGTCAGGTGCATTGTACCCATCGCGACCTCAAGTCAACATAGTGCATGGGGGATTAGCTGGGGTGAAGCTCAGCGTCAAAGCATATATGCCGATCCGAAATATGAGGATGGATACTATTCATTCTCAGACCCACCTGCCACTGGTTTAGGAGCTGCTCGAATGGCAGCTCTTCTTACATACCGAAGCCGGAACTCATTCGAGGCTCGATTTGGGCGAAACATCCCGAACCCAGCCAGACGCCAAACAATCCTTGAAACGCCGCCTCCAGCCACGCCATCCGAGGCTCATTTCCAGATTCACAACGATGGACATAAAACAAAGAGGCTCTCAGCTAATGCTAGCCGAACCAACACGCCCCAACCGTCTGATTCGAACGGTACTGGTGTCCGGTCCTTAGATCCACAGTTCTCAGGTCCCAAAACAGACAGCTTGACTGGAGGAGATTCTCTCCCTTCTTCGACATATTTTTCAGCCCAGTCTTATTTACGATACCAAGGAGAGAAGTTTGTGAAACGTTTTGATAGCAATTGTTACATTGCTATCACGAGGAAGCTCGACACACATGACGTTTCTCGGTATAGGGCTGAGAGCATAGGGGAAGCGCTAACCCTAATTGAGCAGCCGACGCTGGTTCTGGGAATTGAAAGCGATGGGCTTTTCACCTTTGCCGAGCAAGAAGAACTGGCAAAGCATATCAAGAATGCGAGGTTGGAGAAGATAGATAGCCAAGAAGGTCATGATGCGTTTCTGCTTCAATTTGAGCAGGTCAACAGATACACACTTGAGTTCTTGAACGAGCTGTTGCCAGACATCACGAGCAAAGGCGGCGACCATGTCGAGGCTGCAAGTGTTGGACAAATCCTGAAGTCCAGCACTTTCGGGGAAGCAGAGGTTGAGGACATAACTGCATGGTAATCTATTAGGACACTAACACGGTTTCGACGCATTATATGACGACAGAGAACTTCGGATAAGCTCAGTGATAGCATAGCCTCCTAGGTATCGATATTGCTGCTTGCTAAAGAGTGAAAGAAAAAGCCACATTCATCTCAACATTGTACATCGTAGCGCTTCTTGATTAATACCCTAGTATAGTGAGGCTGTTTTGACTGGTTTGATCCATACTGCCGTATATTGTACTGTATTGTCAAGTTACTTTTGCAGTTGTCCAATGGAACGGTATGTCTGGTTCTTCAGTTTCCAGAAGTTTTCCAAGAGTGCATGCATGCACAGATGGCTAAAGCAAATCAGGTGAGCGGGGCTTTCTCGGCTAACATACTCATAGAACCAAGTACCTGCCTTGTATTCATAATAATAATCAAAATTTCATATAACTGATGCACGTACTTCAACTTCTCTGTTGGTATCCGAGCTTTTCACAGCTTGAAGGGCGTTCGATCAATCCTACTGATTGGGGCGGTTTAAAATACTTGAATATGTATGAACTACATAAGGAGGTAGGTAGATACCGGTATGTATACATATGTAGGTAGGTAGTCAGTTAGTTCTTACCTATTTCATCCATGGGTGCCTTAGACACGTTTTGTAGTATGGAATTCTAATTGGATGTAGCTATGGAGATCTCAGCCTGCCTTAAAACTATGGCCCTTGCCCTGGTCAGCAGCTTCCAAATGCTTGTTGACTCTCAATTTCATACCTACGACTACTAAGAATATCCGCCCTAAATTGATCCAACTCCGCTTGCAAACCGAATATTCGGATCTGAATCCGGCTTGAGACTAGGTCTGTGCAGATCTGTGGTAAATAGGTACCTACCTACTTAAGAATATACACATACTACCTACCTATGATACTACTACTTAAGTATGTAGAAGTAGGTGGTGAAGGGTAGGCAACCCCTTAGGTACCATGTCATCTATGCACAAGGTAAGTACTCCCAGCAATGACAAAACGTGGCAGCTCAGCTTCTAGAATCGCTAGAAACGTTCCAAAATATTAGCGCCGAAGGCTTATGTTTTAGGTAATTATTCACCAATGCCTCCATGCGGCTACACCATTCCACCGTGAGTACTCCCGAAACTTTACCTAACGAATACCTCGGTGCTTTTTGCATGACCCCCACGGCTACTAGTTAGTTACTATAATACTTAACTATATACATTGGCTCGTAGTGTCAGGTATAGATTGTGTAGTTTAGTACCAAGTAGCTGGTTACTCGGTAAACAGGCTTTAACGCTGTCTCTTCAGACATGTATCTTGAAGCAGATACCCTGGCCGCTACACTTCTATTGCGGGTGTTCGGTGTGCAAAGGCCTTCTCCCACAGGACTACGCTTCGGGTCGCTGCAGTGGTAGTGTAAGCAATCCTGCGCTGTAACACTAAGCACGTCTTACGATGTTTCCAAAGCGTGGGCTAGTCGATGCATGGTGCTATGAGCGCTGGAGTTCACTGCGGCGATAATTACCACGGGCACACCAGACGCCCGCTCAGCGCGAACCTATGGCTGGGACACGTTGCCGAAGGTGGGCACAAAATGGACGTATCTACGGTACAATACGCGCCACTGAACTGGGCTGGGTGGTTGTACGCAACATCGTATCTAGAGCCAGCCGTTCAACATACGAAGTACATACTTATACTTACATCTTACATGTACCGTAAGTAAGCCAAATCTCGCCAGGGTCGGTCGGGATTACACGCAGGGACAGGGACCGGGAGGCGTTGAGACCTGTGATGTATTGCACATTCCATCACGTTTGCGCTACACCATTGGCTAGGCCTCCAGGCCGCTTTATCCTCCAGAAGCTTACCATGCCCTGTTAAGTAAGCCAGCGTAAACCCGCACGCTTGGGTCATCGCATTGTGCGAGTCTTTATGTGAGATCGATACGCGCTAGGTAGGTACCTACAAAGGATGCACTTGCAGTGGTCTCCGCCCGTCCCGGACTACAAGGCTTAAGTTTCTCCAAAGTTGCGGATACCCTTATTCTTCTTTCCTTCTTACTTCTTCTATACTACGCCTAATCACATCTTAGAAGGCCACTGAAGTTTGTCCTAACAGCAACAACAAACTGGCGCCATGACACCTTAAGGTGTTGTAGGTGTATCGACCTATTTGATTGGAATATCATATAGCTTGTCACTTGACTACAAAGTGTATACTGTGCGCCATGAATATCGCATGATTTGGTTGGATGCTAGATACCTTGGGGAATGGCCGTGGCACTACTTCGATTTCACCTACACCCCTTCAATACCACGAGATTCAACAAACGCCAAAGCGCCGAATCGGCTTCCTGGCCATGGAAATGTTACCGGAGCCTATGAGCCCCCTGACATACGAACGTACATATGGGGGGAACCGCGCTTTTCACAACTTCTTCAACGATTTTAGCCACATTCAGGATCCGAACTTGAGAAGACGCTTGGCTTTATCGGAGATTGATAAGATACCCTTCGGGTTATATCACGTTAGGGCTGTACTAGTTGCCGGCGTAGGATTCTTTCTGGATTCATACGATATCTTCGCTATCAACCTTGTGACTTTATTATTAGGGGTGGTTTTCTGGCAGGGACCACCCAACGACGCAGTTCATGGATATGGTGGTAATCATGGCGTCCTACCGACATCTGTGAGCCAAACGCTGAAGACGTCGACCAGTGCTGGCATTGTCATCGGACAGCTCGTGTTTGGTTGGCTCGCTGATAAATATGGTCGACGGAAGATGTACGGAGTCGAACTAGGTATCATCCTTGTTTCGACCCTGTCCTGCTGTCTCATTGCCGCTAGCCAAGCTGTGAGCTTCACAGGGATATTGACATTTTGGCGAGTTATGATGGGGTAAACATCACACACCCAACCCACCACCGCGCAAGCTGACGGTGACATTAGTATTGGAATCGGAGGCGACTACCCCCTCAGTTCGGTCATCACATCAGAGTTTGCGCCTACAAGATGGCGAGGCGCGATGATGGCAGCTGTGTTTTCTATGCAAGGCATCGGCCAGCTCGCCGCTGCAATTGTCGCCCTCATCGTGACAGCCTCGTTTGCACCAATTTTCCAAACTGCCGCGAGCGTAGACCAGTGCGATTACGATTGCCAAACAGCTGCAGACCGCTGCTGGCGTATCATCATCGGTGTGGGCGCCATTCCGGCTGTCTTTGCTTTGTGGTACGTATCAAACCTTTCTGTAGCGGTTTTAAGGCCTGGAGTTAGTAGAAATTTATGTTATTTTCGAGAGCTAACAGTTGCCACAGTATGTGAACCTTTGATCCTGGAATGCGATCATGATTATCTGTGTAATTCTAAAAAGTATGTAATAAGGGACTGGACTAACACATTTTTAATATGGCAGATTATCGTATTACTATTCCAGAAACCCCGAGATAGTATGCAATTATTCGATTACTCTTCCCTCGCCCCCGCCCCCTCCCCCCCCCCTTTTTTTTGGTTACATTTTGATTCGGGTAACACTTGGAAGACGAAGGCTTTATCCCAGCTGCTGTCTCGAATCTTCGATGCTGTTGAGGCACGTGCCGACTGCACTCGGAGCCGCTTTAGCTGACTCCAAGTGTTCTAGTACGTTCGAGGTCGCAAAGGATGTCGAAAAGGCGGCTGCAGACATCAAGGCGTACATGGCTAACCAATCCGAGGGCGAAGTTGACGAAATCAAGCAAGCGCGAATGAAGAAAGTCGCTGCTCCTGCCCTGGCAATTCCTGCGGCGTCATGGAGGGATGCATATGGATACTTCAGCCAGTGGAAGAACGGCAAAGTGTTAATCGGAACCACGCTTTCGTGGTTCTTCTTGGTAAGAAACTATCTACCCCTGGGAGATCTTGTTACCTGACAAAATCATTAGGACTTTGCCTTCTATGGTCTCGGTTTAAATAATCAGGTTATTCTTTCAGCTATAGGCTATGCGGATGGCAACTCATTACACGCTATATTGCACAATAGCGCCGTTGGCACTATCATCTTGATTGTGGCGGGATCGCTGCCTGGCTACTGGACGTCTATTTTCCTGATTGATACCATTGGACGCAAGCCACTTCAAATACTCGGTTTCTCTATACTTACTATCATCTTTAGCGTACTTGGCTTCTGCTATTACCAGCTGAACAAAGGATCGCTGCTGGCCCTCTACGTGGTTGCTAATTATTTCTTCAACTTTGGCCCTAACACTACCACGTTTATCATTCCAGGGGAATGCTACCCAACACGCTACCGATCGACAGGCCACGGTATCTCTGCCGCTATGGGTAAGGTGGGTGCTATCCTCGCTCAAGTTATCTCGATCCCTCTTCTTAAAAAGGGCGCGCCGCCGACATGCAAAGGCACTCAATGTCAGCCGTGGATAGATAAGCTTATGCAAATCTTTGCACTTTTCATGCTGCTGGGGCTTATCGTGTCCTTCCTAGTCCCGGAGACAAAGGGCTACACTTTGGAGGAGCTTGCTGGTGAGCGATCGACATCCTATAACTCTGGCCGCAACGGCAGCATCGTTGAGATACCTAGAAAGTGGTGGAATCCGTTCAATGGCGGCCGTCCAGCAGGCTTCATGTACCCTCAGTCATCCCAAGGCAGTTTTGGCCGTGGTGGGCGAGTGGGAATCATGACAAGTCCGGAACTCATTGCCGAAAATGCCGAAGCTAGGAAACGGCATTTCTGGAGATGGGGTCGTGAAGATGTGAATAGAAGGCGCCCCAATAGCACGAGTTCAACTACCTTTATAGCCGACTCATCAATCAACGAGACCGCGATCACGCCTCCTCGCTGGGGTGCGGGCTGGGGTCGCATAGATCGAGGGGGTCAGCCTCCCCCAATGGAAAATATACGTCTGCAAGATGTAGGCCAGCTACTTGACAACTAGATATTCTGCATGGAAAGGGAACGTAGTCATTTGGGTAGGTAATCGGCGTTGGCATGGCATGGGGTGGATAGATATAGTTAACCTGGGTGGCTAGGTGGAATGGCTCGGCGTTTCTGGCGATTGTCTTTCAAAGATTGTTGAAGAGATATCCTGATGTAACAAGTGGGCATCTACACGATCCTGTACCTTACACCGCCGTTACTTCTGCGCATCTATTTGTATATCCCTTTATTTAGATGATGGGTATTGGGTTTCAAATCTCCCGCGGAATCAATAACTACGTTCATAAGCATATATGCCTCACGAGTTTTCTTAAGGTCTCTTAATTCCCATCGGAATGTACTTAATCATTAGTTGTATCAGCGATGTAGTGAGGGAACATGAATTATTGTAGTATTGTATTTAAGAATATCCTCGAATATAGAAGCCGGACATGGCAGTTTCATGAACCTGTAAGTTCCGATGGCTGTCTTCCCAAGATTCAGGCCCATCTAAAGGAATTAACGTCTTCTACTATCTTGCTATAACTACCACTCATTCCTCCTGGTAGTTCTGGAGTTTGATAATACTGTACCTAGGGAGATGATTTGGTGTGAAGTACTGTGGCACCATTAAGTACGGCGTAGGTACACGTGTTGTATGATAATGTACCCGGGAGGGAGGATAACGCTACCAATGTACCCAGATAGCCAGCATATCACTGCTGACCTCGAAGATAAGTGGATGGCGTTGTTGTGCTGGGGAGGTACTGTGGTACCTTATGTATTATGTAGGTATTATCCTTTGAACGTGGAGTTGTTTTGGGCTGTCGACTCCTTCTGGATATGCGCGCGCGCGTAGGTGGTAGGTAACCAAAGAAATTTAATAATCATTGTTAAAAGCTAGGCTGTCACTCCCAGCTGACAAAAGACAAACACTCTCTTTCCATTCAAGAAGTGCATACCTATCATCACCCTCTGAAATCTATACATACCCGGCCAAAGCCAACTTTGGAAGCTACCAAGGGTGTTGTTGCACTTTCCAATTATTCAGTCCCTTCATTCCTTCAGTTCTTTCCTTCTACACAACCATCTGTGGGCACTAGACGCCAAAGATAGAAAGAGCTATGGCGAGAGGAAGACGATCGAGGCGCGGGATAGTGGGCAAGGAGAAGGAGTTGCCACTGGAACAAGACAGCCATAAGCATTCTATCCAGGTCTGTCTTATTCGTCGTCTCTTTACCTTTGGCGCCCGAGTTACTACGCTTCGAACCCTCGACTTTTTGATCCTGGCTCACATCTAACGTTCAAGTTAAATTATACAGAGAAAACGAGAAAGTTTGCTGTCACCCGAGCCCACACTTGAGCCAAACCTCCCCAAAATGGAGGCCAACACCCAGGAAAAGCCACAGGGGGGAAGAGCAAGCTGGGGACAATACGCCCATTGCACGAAAATGATTCAATTTGGAAACATAGGATCGCCTTCCAATAATCAGGGTTCATTTGCCGACAAAAACAAGCAAAACGGAGCTACCCTTCCTGTGTTGATTTCGCCCAAGGCTCACCAAGTGCCGCGTCAACCAATCTGGTCTGGGAACGATTGCCCAGGTGTAATTGCTAAATTTCCAGAAAAACATCCGTCTCGGTTCGGTGTGCCCAGTCCGCCACGTAATATTTCCGGTACGCCTCTCTGGGTTCAGATGGATGTAGAGATGGTCAAGATTACGCAACACGGCCAACGATCATTAGAAAGCCTTTATAAAGAAAATCCAGACAGGAAGCTGCAAGGTCACATCAATTCAAGTACGCTTCATTTTGCAGCAGAAGTTGTCCTACAGCTCGTGGATGAAGCTGCGTGCCGATGGCTCAACAAGTGGTGTCCTCACATGGACTTATATGAGGTGCTTGCGGATATCGGCATCAAGGGCCCAGAAAACAGCCATGCTTATAAAAGATACAATGTGCCATTAGATGCCATGGATTTGAGCATTGTGAATGGTAGTCTGGTGGAGACGTATCAGCAGTGCCGAGGGATTATTTCAAAAGACTCGGACGAGAGTACGTAACCATGCGGATCACTTGTGCTCTATTCTGGCTCATATCGAGTGTGACATTCAGCTATCCATGCCACATTCACAACGGCATAGCACAACGCAACTCACTCAAAGCTTGACACAGAAAAATAGCTGACTAGCCTCTTTAGTTCAATTTCCTAAGCTCATCGAGCTAATAGACCAGTCCGCCGTCTTTCTACGAGCGATAAAAGACACCAAGGGCGTAGTCCTACTCCTGACGGCAAAGTCAACCTTCCAGTGGATCCCTATTTGTCTCGACGCAAAGAAGCTGTCTGTCCTAGGGAACTCAAACATGGAGCTGGACAAGCTGAACCAAAAATACAGAGACTGTACCACGAACGATGAGATTAAATCTGAGGCTCTACGTCAGCAACGGCAAGCTGACGAGCTCAATATCCTTGATAAAGCCACGGCAGAGTTCATCTCACACTGCGAAACGTTTGAAATAGAGATGCTAAATGGGCTTTGTGGGTTACTAGCTTGGCGGGGAGATTGAAATAGCTCAAACAACACATCGTGAGAGGTCGTGTCTGATTATTGTAGAAAGAAACCCGGCATCTAAGAACGGTGTTTCAAAAGACGTCCTGGGAATGATGAAAGGCTTAGATTAAAGCGAAATTCTTGAGGACCTCAGCTAATAAAGAGACAGTTAGAGAGGTCTATACCCAAGCAAAAAATGGCAGGGAATAATTCGTTCAAGCTTGGAAGGTATTATTACCTATTTGTAGATTACTTCTAGAAGAAGGCTTCTAAGGGGGTTATTTAGCTCCATTCTGAAGCATATGACCATCTCTTATTTGTCGTCTGATGAATGTTGTTCCCTTTAGACTCAGGCTTCCATTCTCTCCGCCCTGTCGTCCAAACTCCGCATCATAGCTTCCTCCTCATCGATTTCATCCATGACAGGGCCCGCACCATTCTTCACTTTCAACCCACGCCTCGTCATCTCCACAGCGATATCTTTTCTTGTGACCATGCCGCCCTTCCCAAAGCCCTCGAAGTCTTCCCCCAACTTCCGCACAAGGCCCTCTAAACTGCGCATTCCCACAACCAAAAACCCAAGCTCTTCGCGGTCCACGTCGAAGACCTCCCACCACGGGCACTCGGGCATCTTGGCCCCAATTTCGGCGTCCCGCGCGGCGCTGTAGATGGCGGCGACGGCTAGCGCGTTGGGCTGATGCGTCAGGTAGAGCATCTGCGGGGACAGGAGGGCCGTGTTCAGATACGCGACGACGCGGCGCGTTATCCGGGCCCGCGAGGCGTCCCCGCAGAAGTCGAGCGCTTGGAGATACGTTACGGCCAGGCCGTGCGGGAGCGCCACGTGCGTGTCGAAGCCGAGAACGTATAGCATGCGCGCCTCGATGCGCATCACGCGGCGCCGGCAGGCATCGAATTCGCTGTCTGAAATGTAGAAGCTTGGTTTGTCTACTGTGGGAGATGGTGGGGAGCGGAAAAGAGGTGATGACGGCGAGAGTAGATATGTGTATACGTTTATCACGTCGCGCGGACGGCTTGGGTGTGTGCTTAGCTTCGACACGAGGAAAAGAGAGGCTGCAGAGACGTCCTAGCTCGTAAATGCTGGTCAGTTGGCTATTCTCTTACTACCTCTCTGCTTCATGGTCGTTCGTAATGGCACGCAAAGCGGGAGGGAAACGTACGCTGAATTCATTGGCGAGAAGCGGCTCCTCGAGCCAATAGCGCGCTAACACGACGTTCGCTCGAGCTGTCACGGACTGTGGAAGTCGGAGAAGGAGACCCGCGGCTTGTGTTAGGCTCTGCGTCGCGAAGAATATTGCATCTTGTAGATCAGACGGTAGAGCGCCGAATGAGGATGTGCGTTTGTATAGCTGGTCCACTGTCGCGAGAGGGTTCGTCATGTGTGCCATTGTGAATATTTTATGTTTGGTACCCGAGACATGCGATTGAAGCTTGTTTTGCCGTTTCCTATCGGTTGTCGGTGTATATTTCTCGTGAGATAGGAGTCTAACCTCACAATGCTTCTTCCTGTGATTGATTATATGAGCCTGATGTTTCCAACTAGCAGTTTGCTGATAAGAAGGTAGCATGAAGTACTGCACCCTAGCTAATGCAGTCAGGGTCGCAGAGTGGGGCAAGGCCCCTTATCAAATGACGTCGTTCACGATCTTCTTCGTGCTTTACTTTAGCTTCATAGTTAAAAGGAAGAACTAAGACATCTATTGAGGTGAGCGACACCGTGATTGATTCTTCTTTTTCTTTGTCTTCTTCTCTCTCGTCGCTACCGAGTACAAGATGGCAGTCTATTCAGAAGCCCAGCACAAGCTGAATACAGTAGCATCAGATTTTGAGATGCCGATCTCTAGTGTTCCGTCGGTGTTTCGGATACTTGCTGGTATAGTTTCGCCTGTCTTCTTTACTACAATTCGTGGACCCGAAGGTGAGGGCTCTGGTAGCTTGTAAAACCGCCTACCGTTTAAGCTCAGAAAGCCTCCAATTCTCTCCTGCGTAATGTCCTTCTCGTCAACAATTCCCTTTTCGGTTGCTTCTTCTAGGGCTAGCAAGACAAGCTGTGTCGCGTAGGGCTGAGTGAAAACACCTGCTGGCACAGGCTTGCCTTGCTTGTTAGCTAATGGATGGGGCGCACTGTCGCTCCCACTAGAACAATAAAAATGTTAGTTACATAAACAACATGGTTGCAGTGAATTGATGTTACCGACAAGAAGAATTTGGGATTTCCGCTGCAGGCAGCCTTCAAGAGAGCATCTCGATCCGTGGGCGTCTTTGGGATCGGCTTGCAAAAGGCGTGCGGGTCTACCTCACTTATGTCGCCTGTCAAGTACAAGTGATGCGCCGTTATCGTACCTGGGTCGCCACATACATTAGGGCAGGTCTAAAAGGGAAATTGGGCAGCTTTTTAACAGTCAGGAGTTGGTATGATTAACTTACCTGCGACTGTTGGGCTACAAGATTGGACTGCATCTACAGCTGCTGCAGTGGAGCAGTGCTACAAAATAGCTATTAGAGCAATGTCATAGAGAAAATGAGGGAGAGGAAAAACAAGTTCAGAACAAAGACCAACCTCGAGAATGATGCGAAGCTTCGGAAATTTCTCGTTTAGCCTCTTTAGAGTGGGAAGGAAGAGCTCCTCAAGAGAGACATCATCGGTTGGTACAGTTCCAGGTACTTCCCCATGTAGATTCAATACGATGTCGTGTTCCTCCATGGCAGCGAAAGTGGGCGCGTAGACCTCAACGAAGTCGCCAGCAACGCCTGATTCAGAGTTTGTAGTGACGCCTATCTCTATATTAATACATGAGGTTTCAGACGGCGATATATGACTAGTACATACCCTGGGGGTACAGCTTAACCCCTGCAATGCCGGCCTTTGCCGCTTCAGCAATTACTTCAGGAGTGACAGAAGGGTGAAGCTGCTCATCGTTAGTCTATTGGAAATGGTGAGGCCGGATTCCAAGTAGCGCACATAGAGAGACATCAAATAATTGACTCCAGGCTCGACGGCTTGCAGTTGAGACTGGTACTCCAAAGCAGCAGCAACACTGGTGACGGGGGGTTGCAGGTTGGGCTATCGACAAGCCATTAGTTCACCTATTACACAAGATACGCGCTTCTATATTTTACATGCCATGACAAAAACAGTGTCTACTCCTCCCCTTCGAATGTAGGGAGTTACAAGGTTCATAACCTGCAAGAAGTCAGCTCAAACTACCGGGGTATAAGAGAGAATCAAGGGACAAACTACAGACCTCGCCTTGTCGCAAGTGGACATGCATGTCTGCCGTTGGCGGCAGTTCTAGGCGGTGCACATCCTTGAGCCTCATCTTTACTGTCTCACAACGAAAATGAGTGTGAGGGTAGAGAAGCTGAATTTCATTCACAAAGTTGATTGCGCTCCCTTCTTTTGGGCGGTGGTTTCGATAGATTCCCAATAACCCCACCACCATGTATGTACAAATAAGTAGGTAGACTAGGTAGCACATGCAGACTGATAGCGATAAGGATTGTCACTGAACGAGGGGCAGTAACACGTGACTCGTTACGACGCGTGATTCTTTTGCTCAGTTCAATCTCATTATGAACCTGCAAAAACACTCTACTGTACATACAGAATAGTAGGTACCGAAAAGGTGGAACCAACATTGGTCTGTCTAGAGTCTGCCATACATCTGCAGATGGTCATGTTGTTTGGTTAAACCGGCCGAACCTATCATGTCTATCAAATGTGAAAGAAGCATTCCTGGGTTGCTTGACTTGGGTGACATTTCTTGGATATCAATGAGTCTTGGCGCGAGTAAGGGTCTTGCAGGAGCCTTTATAGACTCTTGGCAGTCCTAGGTATCCAGTAATAACTTTTGTTGATATTGGGATCAAGGCTTGTCAGAATTGAAAAAATCACTGCCTCTGAACCGTCGTGTAAATACAGCTTGGGCTTGACATGGATGAGGCGGCAGCTAGGTATTGAGTACCTACTTCGTAGGTATGAGTAAGTAGGTAATACCGCCCTTTAGGGCTTAGCTCGTCGAAACTCGTCAAATATTATGCCACCTTGAGCCGATGTCTCGGCACCTGGAAAATTTCCTGTCTCGCCTGTCAATACAACAAGAACTGCATCAATTTGGATATCTCTTGGCGAGCGGGTAAATGACGTCACAGAGAGCTCCACCAGAAACAGATACCTATGTAGGCGCTATATTTGCTCTATTGATTCTGAGATTAAATAGGTACCGAGTCTGGCCAGGAATAGGCGCAATTACATGTAAGGTAGGTACGCTGTGGGTGAAGAACAGAAATTAGGGGGGTTTTAGTAACCGGCTACGTTACCTGCCTTCAGAGCTTCCTTATAGCCGCACCAGTGAGAATTACCCAATTACCTAGTTCGGAAACGCAGCGACGTAACATGTGGATGCGGCTCCCTACCTACCACGCACTGACACTGGCCTAGTTTAGCCGGAATAAAAGCTATTATTGGCCGTTATATACCCGTGGTGCACTGTAGGTACGAAGTAGGGCTGCTCTTTCTCCTTCAGCTGGCTGGCCTGTACCAAGGTGAGCCCCTCTAAACCCCTCTAAACCCCTCCAAAACCCCACTCAGTGCTACCGTGTCGCGTTTGCATCTCCGGGGCCGGCCAGTCTTCGAACCGTCATCTTCTCTGCGACTTTTCTTCCAGTTGTTTAGAGGTAATTCGACGGTTCATCATCGTTGAGAAGCAATCATTGAGCGACATGGTTTCGATCATTCTCGGCTCCCAATGGGGTAAGTACACTTCTGCCACGGCTTGACCTAGATCCAGTTTCTGCCTTTCCTTTCCTCTGCTTTCGCATAATAGCATCAAGCATGGAGGAATAGTCAATTGGATCGCTGGCGCCGAGGCCATAATCCCTGACTTGGATCTGAAAATAACTCAATTCGCGTGCAGGAGACGAAGGCGTAGGTTCACGCCCAGACTTGCCCCAGCTTTCTTGAGGTATGGTACAGTTGACTGACTGGTTGATGTACAGAAGGGGAAATTGACAGACAATCTCCTGGCAACCAACTCATTCGACATATGCGCGCGTGCGGCCGGTGGCCATAACGCCGGTCATTCAATCCAGTATGCCAATTGCGATGATATTAACATGTCCTGTCCATAGCAGCTTCAGCTGACCAAAGGTCTCTAATAGCACCGGTGACCAGAAATTCTCTTTCCATCTTTTGCCCTCGGGCTTAGTCAGCCCTAAAACCGACAACTTGATTGGGTCCGGTGTCGTTTTCAACGTCGATGCATTCTTCGGAGAGCTGGCCGACCTTGAAGCCAAGGGCGTACCCGACGTTCACAAGCGCATCCATGTTAGCTCTAGGTGCCACTTGAACCTCACCTTGCACGCCGCTGTCGACGGACTTTCCGAAAAGGCGCTAGGCAAGAGTCAAATCGGAACCACGAAGCGAGGCATTGGTCCCTCTTATAGCACCAAGGCCGCGCGAGACGGCTTGAGAGTTTGCGACATCTACCATGATGATTTTGCAGAAAAGTTGCGGACGTTGGCCGGCTCTTATCGCGCACGTTACGGCGATCTTCTGGAATACGATGTTGAGGCAGAAATTCAGAAGTTTGTGAATTTGAGGGAAAAGTTGCGACCTTACATCATTGACGCTGTCGAGTACATGAAGGTCGCGCAAGAACAGAAGCGCTCGATTCTCGTCGAGGGTTCGCAAGCTCTAAGTATGAGAAGAGCGCACCAAGCAAGAAGAATCTGGCTGACCAGTTTTAGTGCTTGATTTGGATTACGGCAGCTACCCCTTCGTTACATCCTCCAACTGCTCGATTGGTGGCTGCGTTCAGGGACTAACCATTAGCCCCTTTAACATCAAGTATGCTGAATTCATATCTGCTCCGTCCAATTGGACAGGGCAGCTCTTATGGTACTATACCTAAATAATTATCCTCGTGAGGCTTACTTGAACTGCATAGGAACATTATCGGCGTCGTCAAAGCATACGTAAGTTAGAGAAGAAGAAAATTTTAGCTAAACCTCAAATCATACTAAGATCAATGCTCCATAGACAACGCGAGTAGGCGGTGGCCCTTTCCCCACAGAACAACATGGAGATGTCGGCACAAAACTACAGGACATTGGTGGAGAGATAGTATGCTCGCCCCTTGGATAAATATCTTGAGAGTTATTGAGCCTTGGCTAAATGTTTCTAGGGTGTCTCTACTGGAAGGAGGAGGAGATGTGGATGGCTTGATCTTGTGGTTCTCAAGCACTCTACTGCTGTGAACTGTGAGTGGCTTACGGTTGATATCTTCCCATTCAACAGGTAATACATACTAACGAACATTTCTTATAGACTATACCACCCTCAACTTAACTAAGCGTAAGCACTTACAGTCAAATCTCATATAGCTTATCGCCAATGCCAAGGCTAATTGGGTCACATAGTCGACGTACTGGACACATTCCCAACAATTCAAGTCGCTGTTGCTTACATCACTCCTGATGGAGAACGGATTACGAGCTTTCCTGCTGATTTGAACTATGTAAGCATCGCGACCTATACAGTCATGTCAGGCGTCTAATTAGTCTAGCTCGATAAATGCACGCCTGAGTATATCGAGTTCGAAGGCTGGCAGTCCTCGACCCAAGGATTACGGTCATGGTCTGACCTCCCCCCTCAAGCCCAAAAGTACATTGAACTCATCGAGTCAGAGATTAGTGTCAAGGTACGTCATCAATAGACCCCTCACTCATCACGCAGTTTCTAATACATATAATATAGGTGAGCTACATTGGAACCGGAAAGGACCGTGAGGATATGATTATCCGATGAAAGTGCTACCGATCTACTCAAGGCACGTTCTAGATGTGGGAGGAAAAGTAATTTAGAGAATAGAGGTGGTGGTAAAGGAGTGGCTCATGATTATAGGCTTGCTTATTTTCGTAGCTTCCCGAACATAACTGCTTAATGTTTGCCACTTAACCAAATGCCTTTGAGCTACTCGAATGTATGCTTAGAAATCTAGAACAGTAGCGGAGACTGATATAGACTAAACGAACATAAATTGACAGTCTGAGTGCTACAATTTACTTAATCCACCTTAGGGAAAGTGACATTTACCACATTGCGCTCTTAGCGTCGCAGTTTCATCTTTATTAAAGCTTTTATAGGTTATAAATGTAAGAAAGAGTTTAAAGAGACAATTATCATCACCATTATAATAGCGAAGCTGAAAAGACTAAAAAGTGAAAACAATGAGAGCTCTCGATCGGGGAATCGAACCCCGGCCACCTGCGATCTGTACATGACAAGCAGGTATCCTAACCACTAGACCAATCGAGATGACACAATCTGCACTTGTTGTCAACCCGTTCAATACCAATTATATTGATATGTAGTTGTAAGCAGCACAAGCGAGAATTGAGAGAGCATGAAAATGACGGACCCCCTGAAAGAGAATTACGTTCATCAGCCATATCTTACATCTTGCTCCAACTTAAAATGCTGGACACAATATCTGGGTGTTGTTGTAGCTCTAGCATAAAATACCATACCTCATATCAATGCGCAACACCCCTTTATTTCACATGCGAAGACAAAGGGGTTTATCTAATTGCTAAAAGACAGGTGATTGGAAGGATACCTTGACACAATGGCCGACATAAACAATGCCTTACTTCTATAAATCCTTGATGAAGACTCGACGTTGATTCAACGGCTCTGCAGTTGCTAACAATATCTTATAACCTATCTCATTCATACCTCTCTAGATTACCTTCGTTGTCCACTGAACACCAAGGCTAAAAGCTACGAACGGACACAATTTGCTCTAATTACTAGTTACCTAGAGAACACCACCATGTGTCAAGGCTCAGAAAGAGGACGGCTCTGCGGCCAGCCGCAGAAGTGTGCCAGTCCTCCAGGTTCCATGGTGAGCCTCGACACTGACTATTCAGACTACGACCAAAAGTTAATGAAACGTACCGCCGAACTAATGTCGCAGCTGAGACTTGAAGAAGGCGCCACTAATGTGAAGAACCTCGTGGACCGGGGCAACACAGTTAGCAAGAGCATGCACGAGAATCTAGTACAGACGCAAAATATGATCTCTTGCAAAGCGCCGTGGGACCCCAACTCCGACTCGGATTCCGACGCTGGCAACCGCGACACAGCGCATCTCACCCCTGACGGAACAGAAGTCATTCAGAAAGAATACGTTCTGATCAACGGCCATTATGCACTGATTACGTATCGCAAACAGCTGAAGGACGTCGACCCATATTTGCTCCTCAAGCTGCGCCAAAAACGCGAGAAGGAAGTCGCAAAATGGGAAGCGAAGCAGAAGAAAGGGAAAGGAAGGGGGTTCGAGGGAGAACAAGATTCAAAGCAGTGTATCTCAGAGCCCCTGGCTCAGCTGACGGGGATAAAAGCTAATACTTCGGCTCGGCGGACTGCTGCTGGCGAGAGTCGGGGAAACTTGGATGAGGGCCTTAGCCATTTGCAAGAAAAGCTTCGTGAAGGGCGAGTCAAGGCGCGTGCGTCATCGCCATTTTCGTTGCCGTCCTCTTCCTCTTCATCGGAGAGGTCTTTCAAAGCAAGAGCAGCTCGGGTCGGCTTCCATCCTACGAAATCTGGGGAATCCATCAAGAGACAAGGTAAAGACCGCGTGGTCGAGCTTGATGACGATCCTGATATTTGGCTCATGATCGCTGACCAATACAGAGGCGAGTCTATTACGGAATATAAAGGTGAGACCAAGCTTACACGCGGCCCTGCCCTCAACAAGCAGTAGGTCTAAAGATCAGATAAACTAAGTTCATTAACCTCCATAGACTCACAAAATTCTCATCCTAGCCACGTATTGCCTGACCGTACTATTATGAATATCCTCAGCTCTCATCCCGTTCGTGAACTTTCGTCCACAGTGTGCATCATCCTGGAAACTCCACTGGCCCTAACCTTGCGGCAATTTCCGTAGAATCAATCGCTCCCTCAGCCCTCGCGCCGCTGTTTTTAGAATCTTGAATGTCTTTCTTAGCTTTGTTGTACTCCTTAATTCGCGCAGTGGCAAGCTTCCCCTGTCTTCGACGATCCTTGGGACATCGTAGGAGGGGCACCTGTGATTGATAGATAATGGAGTCAATAACGGTCATTGTAGTTGAACGAAGATTATTTGCTTCCAAAAGTGTGAGATAGTGATGAGAGTAGAATCGTCTGGAACTAGACAGTTCGCTCCTAACAGTATCGGAGAAGGGACGTAAGGGATGACTCACTTGAATGATTGCAGCAAAGATGTCGAATACCTTGTCTATAGTCACATTGTGTCGCTTTGCGACTTCCTCGAATGGAAATTTCTCTTGACATGTCTCAGCTACGTCGACAATTAGATTGGGCGAACGTTTGCGATAGTTGGGCTGAATGAGAGAGGCGGGTAGATGCAAGGGTTTCGGTGAGGTATTAGAGCTAGTCTCTGTAACCTTCGCCTTTATCGTTTGAGATGGTTTTTTCATGTTGGGATGTCCTGGAGCTGACTGATTTCCAGCCTCGATCACTTTCTGCTGTTGGGAAGCTGCTTGTTGTGGCAGGTGTTGAGGCTGTGGATGAGTCGGTATAGAGACGAACCCGCTGCTACTCACTGGCGTCATCACAGGCGTCATCACGGGCGCGAAATTCGGTCCAAATCGATGCACATTGCTCGTGGGCATTGTGACCATATGTGGAGGGAGATGTTGACCATAGGCGGTGTGACACTGTAGCTGCGGTATGACATGAGGAGCTAGGCCCGAGTTTATTATCGGCAGGCCTTGCGCTCGTGAGAGTTGAGTTTGATTTCTCAACCGGATACATACTTGACACGGATGCTTCTCAGAAGGGTTCGGAATGTTGTGCTTATAGTGCCTTTCGGACATTGTTGAGTTGCTATTTTCCCAGCATGGTGCGTTACGAAACGCCTTGGGAGAGAGATCATGAGGGGGGAAGGGCATGTGTGTAGCATTTGATCCAGAGCTCGTGTCATTGTTGGGATGAATGAAAGGGACTGGGCTAGTACAACTGCCTAGTTGGATAAACGCTTCCAAAGCATGAGTTTGCTGAGCATTAGGTAAGATGTTCCTGAGATCTGGTACCATTGCCGGTGTCTCCGTTTGGCAAGAAGTATGACTCGAGCTCGCACACAGTGTATGAGAGTCTGAATGCTTCTCCAAGCTAGACATTCCAGCCACAGCTCGATCGTCTCGGACATTAAGCATACTTGGAGAGGCTGTCAACGGAAGTTGTTTTGGTGAGAGCTCAGGGGGGCTCAGCGGTCGAGGTTTGCGAGCAGGCTGGTCAAACGCGAAATTCTCTAGAACTGGCATCGATACCCCTTTTAGGGCATAAGCAAGTTCCATTGCACTGATGTCGTGAGGGAGATTGACCATTCCTGTACTCAGTCGCCTTTCTGTATTTTTCACTTCACTGCCAGGTGTTTCCACTGCCACAGCAGCCTTATCTGGAACATGATGCGCAGGAATGACAGACCGCTGCTCGTTGCACCTGTGTCTCTTCACTGGCTTCTCAGAGATGAACTGGATATCATCATCACCATCGTCAATCTGTCTTTTAGAAGAGGGCAGTGGGCTTAGAGCTGGATGTCGACAGACATGATTCTGTCCCTGGTATTCATGTAGCCCATGCGCTGGGACTGGACACTGGAATGGGACATATGGTGGCATGATGTTGGCAGCTTACCCGAGAAAGCAAACATGAGAGATTTGACGCGATGGCCCACGAACCTTTAAGCCCAGGGAAGGGCAGGCGATATGTGAGATATTTGTACAGCTAGGTGTTTTCTTGAGCAGTCACAGGAAGTTCAGAAGTTAAGAGAAAGCTGGCATGACCTGTGTAGTAGCATGACTGCAGTTCTTTCACAGATACCTAGGAACTTTCAATAATACAAAAAGTCATTCCAATTGCAAACAGTTCCACAATATCAATGGGGACTTGCTAGTTGGCATGTAAAGAAGTCGGCAACATGTGCTTTCAACAAGGGTAGCCTGATATACCTGCAAAAGGTAGAATCACTAGTATGAACATTTCTGTGGGCTGAAAGCATGATAAGAGTGATGGAAGGTGTGGTGAAATGTGCTCTGGGAAAAGAGAAGCAGTGAATGGATATTTCCATGCTGACAGCGTGGTAGCATATTTGCCTACTTAGGCTTGACAAAGAACAGAGGTGATGGATATACTGAAAGTAGTCATCTTGTCCAAGGCCACGCAGTATGGGATGTAACTGAGGCATGTCCACATATCAACTGCTTATGTCAGAGCTGTTTTCGAGGTCGAGGTAGTGAATGTGCCTGGCATAGGTAGTGATGGTCTAATGTCATTTGGCACGGACGCTGGCGCAGTGGGCACTCCATACGGAGTACCGGTAGCATAGACCAAATGTTGAAGCTCAATACAGTTCTTTGCTGCGACTATCTTCCATCTATTGCATTGTCTCGTCGGCGCCAGTGTACTGCTTCTCGCACTCATACATACCTTTCGCCCGTGCTCCTAAGGTAGCAGCTGTGCTCTGCTGGTTTTGTACCAATTCAACATTAGAGGCTGTCCTGGAGGCCCTTACCTGGGCTCACCAATACCATATGAAGAGCAACACATTTGCTTGTTTAGAAGAGTTGAGGTTATTTTCCCTCTGTGCAAATAATATATCCTGATAAGTGGTCAGAATAGTGGCTTAGCTTACCTAACCTACCGGTACCTAGGTACTGTTACGTAATACAGATCGTTCCGGGGCAGCTAGCACTACCCCGCCAACAAGGTACCCACCAACAAGGTACCCAGCTCCCTGACCTGACCTGAGGCAAGTAGAGGTGACAATCCAAGACCAAACATCTTGAGGTGCAGCTTTAAAAGTACGCAAATTGCAGCGGTCTCCCGCCCTGGAAAGCTCTGTATCTCTTAGCTATCAGACAAAATGGATTCAGCTGCACAGAATCCGCTCCTATCGACCCAGCAGGCCTCCGACTCCGGTCTACAGGCGGTGCTGCACCCGCTCGTGCTTCTCACCATCTCAGATTACATCACACGCCATACTCTTAGACAACAGCCTGGCCCTGTCGTGGGTGCCTTAATCGGGCAGCAGAATGGCCGCGAGGTGACGATAGAACATGCTTTTGAGTGTGCTACAAAAGTTAACGGCGACGACGTATCACTTGATGCTGACTGGTTTGGACAGAGGCTGGGCCAGAGTACGTTTCTTCAAAGCCTCAGATGCTATGTGCTAGCTGTTTCTAAGCACCGCTAACCTGGAGCCAACTTCAGTGAAAACAATACATAGTTCCCCTCAGCTAGACCTTGTTGGTTGGTACACCTTACTCCCTAAAAGCGGTCCGACACCGTCCATCCTCCAGATTCACAACTATATCCTATCCGAGCACAATGATTCGTCCCTCCTGCTTGGGTTCCACCCTGAGGAGTCTGTCAAACACGATGCTGGCAGCAGACTACCCCTGACCATCTATGAGTCCAACTACGAAGCGGAGGAGTCGAAGAACGTGCAAGGAGAAGATAATGAGATGCGAGATGGAGAACCGCCACTGAGACTGAGATTCAGAGAACTCCCATACTCCGTGGAGACTGGTGAGGCTGAAATGATCAGCATGGATTTCGTCGCAAGGGGTGCTGGTAACGCCACAGCTGTCGAACCGCGGGAGCAGAAGAAAGTTATGCCTGGATACAGCGACGATCCCAAAGGCAAGCGGAAGATGGAGGATTCACAGCCAACGGCGACGGGTCAGGGCTATACGGATGCTACAGATGCTGACGTCCATATTCTATCGAGAGAGGAGGAAGAGATGATCGCAGCTATTGCGGCGAAAGCGAACTCGGTGAAGATGCTGCAATCCCGTATCAACCTCCTAGCAACCTACCTCGAGCGACTACCTCCTTCTAACCTTACAGGAGAGGATACTACGATGGTTACTGGCGAGGGAGAGCCTACGATCCCTTCACACACCATCCTTCGATCAATCCAAGCCCTCGTGAATAGGCTATCGCTGGTAGTCCCCTCGGCGACCGAGGCGTTCAAGCAGGAGATGCTCAGCGAAGAAAATGATGTGCGCCTCATGGAGCTGCTCAATGACGTGTTGCAAAGCACTACCGAGATCAGGAGCGTCGGCAAGAAGTTCAGCATTGTAGATGCGAGCAGAGTCCAAAGCAAGAAATATACAGACGACCCAAAGATCCTAGGCTCTCGATTTGCCGAATTTTAGAGATGGGCAAACAAAAGATGAGGTTTCAGAAAGAAGGAAGAATGAACCAAGACTTCGAGAAATCACTGCATTTGCGTGGCGAAGGAGGCGTTTTGTTTGGCGGCCGTGGAAAGCTGCTTGGGATAGCTACTGGATTTATGGAGACTAGTTGGCTTGCCTCTCTACCTATGTGTATGCGTGTGCGCGCCTTATTGCCGGTTACAATAGACCACGGCTCGTGATAATATCTAGACAGGTGCGTACATATTTTATGAACAACGCATCATAATCATTGAAGATTGCACAATGTTCTCACGCCGGCCACGTATTTCATATTGCCATTAAAAGGAGTGTGCAAGGCGAATCGTACATAAAGGCCACAATGCACCTCATATCTGTTCTCATATCACTACGAGGTAATAATCCATTCTAACTCATTGGTGCCGATTCGATTCTAATGTGGAGGAAGTTGATGTTTTAGATGTTTTATGGAATGATATGGAGCCCCCAACATTTGGGGATAAAGAAATTGCATACATTCAAGCGCGCTTGCCCCAGCATCCCCTATACCAAGCTAGTAAAAGACGATGGCAAAGGAAAGTGATGAAGTCGAGATAATATAGGGTCCCCTCGAGGTCGATCTAGGTCTCGATAATAACCTTGAGCACGAGTTTCCCATTGTCGTCCGAGGTCCTGCCAGCCAGCTCGAAGGCCTCCCTCGCCGCTGCGAGACCCTTAAACCGATGTGTCACCATCTCGTCGAGGCTCGGCAATACAGGTACAGGGGCATTGTTTCTCTCACTCTGAACCTGGGTGGAAAGCAGCCGGATACCCGTCGGATAAGTGTTTGCGTAGCGAAAGACACCAAGGATATCTATTTCTTTGAGATGTGCCACCGAGAGTTGTACGATCTGAATAGGCGTTCCCATGCCCACCATAATAACCTTGCCGCCGGGACGGGTAGCGTAGAGACAGGTCTGCATGCAGGGTTCTTTGCCAGTACATTCGAAGCTGAAGTCGACGCCTTCGTCTTCGTCTTCGTTCTGGAGTTCCGTTGGGGCCCTGGAAACGGAGAGCATATCTGCTGCGAGACGCTTGGCGTGCTCAAGCTGTCCCTGATACGAGTTTGAAGTAATATTGCCGGGGCTGGACTCTAGAAAGGTAGACGTTGTCGAGTGGCTGGAGATGGAAGTGCTGCTTGCGGAGGATTGTAAGGGGCGGGGGACGACAAAGCCATGCGTTGCGAAGCCGTGCTTTACCGCGTAATCCACGCGGCCGGCGTCAATATCCGCAATGATAACTGAAATGCAACCGGACTGGCGGGCCATAGCTGCCGTTAGAAGACCGATCGTCCCGGCACCGCAAACGAGTGCGGTGGAACCGGGGGGCGGATTGGCGCGGCTTACGGCTCGGATGGCTACTGAAAGGGGTTCCAACAGAGCTGCAGCTTCGAAGGAAATGTGATCAGGAAGTCTTTCTCATAGTCAGCTCATGACTTCGAAAACCACGGCTATGCCGAGCCGAGCCGGACGTACCTGTGGCACCAAATTGCAGGATGATTTATCCTCTCCTGTAAAGTGCCTTGGAAGTGAGGCACGCTTTTAGCACTACTCCTGAACCGCATCTTCTTACACAGGTTGTATTTGCCGTCCCTGCAGATGCTGCAATGGCCACAGGGGACGCCAACTTCTAGAGCTACTCTGTCTCCTATTTTGAAACTGCTCTTCACATTTGGGCCAATGGCGACAACGGTGCCGGATGACTCATGACCCAGAGAAAGGGGCTCACAGGCGCAGAGGTCTCCATTCGCAAACTTGTTGTAGTACGAAACATCCGAACCGCAGATTCCAGTGGACCGAACGGCGATCTGGAGCTCGCCTTCACTGGGTGGCTCGACGGTCCTCGTCTCCTATCCATAAGTATGGCAAATTAGCTGAGCTGGATACTACTAGTAGATACAATGGACTGCAATGAATGGGCTCTAGATCTTGTGTTACGACAAGATAGTCACGTAAAGGAGGTCTCACCAGGCGCACATCTCGCGGTCCGTGTAGTACCGACGCATATATCATCTGGGCTCCTTTCCCTAGTATAGTAGATTGCATTGGAGCGATCTCGTCAGTGGCAGCGGATGGTGCCATGTTTATGGTTCTTCTTAGCGGTGAGCTTATTCAACAACGATCTGTTAGTATACAATATTGTCCAAGTATCCTTGGGTCTAGATTCAGATTCTTGTTGCAAGATATATAATCAGATTAGAAGCGAGCGGCGGGTATATACACATTCCTTCAACAGACAACAGGGCCCCTTTGTCAGTTAAAAAAACTCTAAAATGGCACAATGATACCTGAGAGAGAGCTATGCAGAAACTATAGAGTCTCTGTCTATGCTAACTTATCAACATGGATTATTTGAAAATTTTAGGGGTTGATCTAGAGTTAGTGACACTCCGCAACCGCCACACCCTTATGAAACTAAACACCTCTCCTTGGGGGGATGTTTGAGTCATCATCGTGTAATCGGCCAGTTATCATGACTGACATCGTAGATTACGTTTCACTGCCCTGGGAGACATGCATTCACCTGGTTGGCAACGATGTGACGGCGGAAGCAAGACAGGAGGAATGTCTCAGAGAGACCCCCAAGTTTCTACTTGGTGTTGGTTGATCCCTTAGCTTAGGATATGTGGTCCGTAAATGTGAGCACCTTGGAACTGATATAAGCCTCCCCTGTTCCTATTGGGCTCGGCCCGACGGGAGCCTGTAGCAACGACCTATGAAGGTATCTCGATGCATGATAAAGATTTTCGTTCGGGTGAGTGCAACTGGTGAGAATCGTCTGCAATAGCCGTTGTGAGCCCACGTACATTTCTAATAGATCATACTTCGTTTAGGGACGTAAAGAATCGTCCAATCAAGCCTTTGAAGGAGGAGATGGAGTCTCATGACAGATGTAGCAATCGATTCCGACGTTAGATACGTATCGTGTGCACAATAAATATTCTAAGACTTTGGCAAGTATGCTCCAGATATATATCGAAAGTATCTTGATATGATACCTTAATTTCTAACGGCCATAGTTTCCCTCCATATCTTCCTATTTCCCCTAGTACGCATCAAGGCTGGTTACATCTGCCGCATGATATTACCCAGCTTGGATGTTAAATTATTATTCTTGTCGCTCTCCTCAAATGCAGGCCGGACATGGATCTTGACCGTTCTTCGAGCTCCGACATGCATGTGATAGCTTTATATAAACTGTTCTTGACGGGTACTACAAGTAGCATCTGAAGGGTGGCAACTCGCAATACCCGAGGGTATGGTCCGCATAGTTATAGCCGAAGCCGATTTATTACACATGATTCGACTCGCTAAGAAGTGTGTGCTGTGCTGCACCCTTTACTGAGTGTGCCCCTCTATTCGTTTGCGCGATTTTGAGTTAAGAGACATTGGTGAAGCATGAGTTACATACCATGTATTTTACTTACATCAGAATATATAGCTACTCCATACTTAAGGAGGCAAGACTTCGATATGACAGACCAACTTGATTAGCACTCTCAGATACCCACCGTCTCGCTACTTCTCCGTGTTATCATGTGGTATCATCGTCGATACATAGGTAGGTGTACACAAAAAGCCGTCGTCAGGCCTATGAAGACCTCTATCCAGCCCCATGTGTATAACACGACCAATCAAGCTGTACTGCTCCGATGGCTCGATCTCTAGGCGAGGGTGGCGCCTTGTCATTCGCTAGTTGATCCCAGCAATTTCAACCTCTTTGTGACACGATCAACCCATCAACACATTTACCAGCCTGTGTTCGCGTGATATCATCCCTGCATGATAGCATCGAAAATCAAAGCGGAGGATGACATCGTACCACGAGGAACTCAAGGCCATTCAAATGACATGTAGTGACATGCATAAGTATGATCCTAGGTTCCGTTATATGTATTTTGCCTTATCTGCGGTTAAGGGCTGCATAGCTCTGCCTTAACTCCTGCGATAGGTTTGGCCCATTGGCTTCATTCATTGTATGAACAAAATTAGTTAGAAGTAGAGTTTATGTTTAGCTTGGAGCTGTATATTAAGTCTCTGGGTTGAAAATCATTTGATAGAGCTAGTTAGCTTTAAAGGATTTAAATCGCACTCGCCGTTATTAGACAACTGATGCGCTTCATTCAGCTTATAGAGGTAGGTACTGTAAGTCCGACTCGTACTAGGTATTGTTAGCCCTGTTCATGCAGAACCAAGCTCCCCTCACCCAATATGGTGGCTAGAACGGTGAGAGCCGGTTAGGAAATCGGTCTGCAGGACGGGCAAGATGCAGGGTGGGATATCGAGTCTGACCACCTCTACTACGACACCATTACCTAAAGTCGATCGAAACCAGACATCAAAATCGAGATTCTGGTTGAAACACTGGGATAAATATGCGGCGACTGACGGTTTTGTGCTCGACTTTAAGCCATGCACATACATCCCGGCACTAGAGCGATTGTGGTTGGAAAGGGCGGTGATTTGAGACTCTGCTCTATGAAGGCCATTGATCAACTTCATTTGATCGTAGTTGATTAAAGGTTTACTTGCAACACAGCTTGTAGTTAAGCGAGTGGTTGAGGTGCAACAGGGGATGAGATTCAGTACATCCCACATTTACAACCAATCCCGTTCATCTGAAAGCAGGTGTATCAAGGCTTTGCTGATGGTACGAGCACCAAGGAGCCAGGTATATATCATTCCTCTCTCAATCTTATCAACGGTAACTGAACGCATAAATGTAGGGAGGGGTCGATGCAATGGTAGGGAACGTCTCGGGCTTTAGCTCCAACATCACCCCCCATCACCTCGCCTAACGCTGATGAGAGGGTAGATGCCGGGAGTACTAGGTGTAGTCGCGGGTTGCATGAATAGTTCCGATACTCACCGATGGTCAACTACCAGTGCCAGCGAGTGAATGTGTTTGGAAAGGGTAGATACACATGAAGTGTTGAGAGGTGAGCAGGGTGTACTTATCAGATCAAATATATGCAGACTAGGTAGTCCAACCGGAAATAAGCCTGTAAACCTGGGAATCTGAACTTGGTAAGGAAGTTCTTATCAATAACTAGTCGCCGATTAATGTTTGATTGATACCAAACCATCGACCCTTGCGTAGTGACACGATTTCGTATACTTGAAGTAGCTGCATTCTGCAATGTAATTTGTCAACACTGTCACCATACAATAGCTTCTAAAAGTACCGGCACGTACGTAGACAAATATTAGGCCCCTAGGTATTACACACTTTCACTGCTGAGTCTGTTATTATAGATTTCTAGGTAGACGATAAAATACAGGCTGATACACGAACACCTAAGGTTGCTAGGTGGTGAAAAGGAGGGCAGATCAGACAGACAGTCGATGGCCAACGCGCGTTTAACTGCAAAGGAAATTACATCATAGTATATGTAACGAGCAACTATAGGTTTGCAGTCGTATAACGATCCGTTTGCGTCCGGCTCGCACGGGTTCTGTTGGAACACGGCCTATGTGCAAGTGCAGGTTGAAACGGTCGTATCTCTATACATGAGGGTCAAATCAAACAATGTCAGTTATATGCGAAATCAGCTATGCTTCGAATGTCCAAGCTAGCCACTAGCCATACTGTACGCTCTAAACAGGTAGAGGAGCTTTACAGAAGAAGGCTCAAGTATGGTGACCTGAAGAGTCCACATTAATGAATAGCAGAGGTCCGTCATAACTTGGAAGCTTGAATAGATAGACATCGAGCAGACATAGAATGTGGCATCTGCATAGGAAAAGAAATATAGGAAAATATAGGAATGTGCAACGGGGACAGAAAAGAAGATCCAGCTGCCTGATGTACTTACGTAGTGCTTAAGGTAGACATGTAGATAGGGTGAGCTCTTGGATAAGAGAAGGAGCCGGGCTCGAAATTCCTTCCATCCGGCCCACTGAGATCGAAACCAACGAAGGCCGCGGATAGGGTTTGAAATTATATGGGTGCCATGCTTTCTCTTGCCACCTACCAATTCGTGTAACTATTCCCTTAGACAGGCAGGCATCTACACTAGATTGATGCCTCTCTACGTTATAGAGACGGTGTGGATGTTGGGACATGGATAGGACGTCTTCGGGTTCTCCTTTGAAGATTCGCCTCGGATGGCCAGCTTTCTTTCATCTAGGGGTGTAGCGGAAAGAGCGTCACTATACTGAAAGACCTACCGTCTTCCGAAAAATCGCAAGGCGAGTGACCTGTGCACTTATGTGAAAATCACTAAAAGTCTTCAGCAGTCTCCAGATATTCGGTACTTTAGGAAACATACCTAGTCTGGAAGTGCTGATGTGATTCATCGTTATGGCTACTATGTTCTCGCATTGATGACGTCTAAACATGAGTTAAAGAAAACAGGACCAGGACCATGCCTACATTATTTCGATACATCATTACATGACAGGTGGTAGGTATATAGCTTAGAAGTGTTACATACTACGCATGGAATAGGCAACATCCTTTTGACGATGCTGAGGTGTCCATGATTCTCAATTCCACATTGCTCGCATTCACTCATATCTCTCTCCCGTTCTTCCGGTCCCAACTCGGTTTAGAAAATGCACTATCAGAACGTGCTAGTAGCAAGTCGACTCGCCGCGTTTCTCGCATCCACACGATCCTCGTCATCCTCTTCCGGAAGACCAGGCATGGCTGTGCCTGCGTTGACTGGCGACTTCACACTCTTGTCTTTATCTCCAATGTCCTCCTCCTCGTTCACACCCGCCATGATGCTTCCCGAGACGCTTCGGCTTAGACTGTCTGTCCGCCTCGGCACACCGCTCCAGGCATCACCTTTGGGCCCTTGGCTAACAGCAAGGCTCGTGCGCCGCACTGCTGGGTGCGACTCTCGGCCGAGCCGACTAAGTCCTCCAGAGGCATCAATGGCCCTAATGTCGGGTCTCACACTCTCGAGAAGTGCTAGAGTGCGACGCTCCGCTTCAATTTCGCGCAACACAAACTCGCGAATGCTACCCCGCAAATCGGCTGATGTCCGTGCAAACCACTTGCGTCGTTCATTGACAAGATTCTGTGTGACCCGTGTCGTCTTTTGGTAGAGCTCATTTTCGGTATTTCTAGCTTCGTCGAGAGCGGCAATGGCCTCATCGACCTTCTCGCGTTTTACACTCGAGCTGGCCTTGAGTCTATCCGCTGCGTTTGTCTTGCTTCGCGTGGTGTCCTGAGCTTGGAGAAACTCGCGAATCAAAAGCTGTCGGTTCGTCAATGTCTCTTTCACGATAAAGGCATCCTGTGAGTGGTATTGAAACGAATCCCCAAGGGTTGTAGCCTCGGCTGTGGCTTGGGCGGCGTGGCAGTCCCCCACAGTCTGTATAATCTTCCCCAGTTTTCGATAGGCGTTTGCCAACCCTTGATGCGGTTCTTGCACGCTCATAGCACCAATCTTTACGCCGAAGTCAGACTCAGCAAGTCCCAGGCCTGAAATTGAATTAGTCTCACCCAAGCATCTTCATGTTCAGCAACTGAAGTAAGAGCATACCTCTTCGTGACTTGACTAGTCGGTCCACCTTATGTCCCGCATCCATCGAGCCCAAGTAAAAGAGCTTGACGATAGGACGTGCTTCTGCTAGCTCGGGAGTGTCATCCGGAGGTGGTGCAAACTGTTTTAGGACTTTCCTTCGTACCCCTGTGGCGGGCTGCTTTCGCTTTATCATGGGACTGTAGCCGAAATCGCTCTCGACAAACAAGACCATCTCATCGTCCATCATGAGCACCTCATTGCTGCATACATAGTTGAACCACCTTTGCATCAGCGCCTTAACGCGCGCCTCGTCCTCGTCTGTACCGGCACCAGCAGACGTCAATGAGGGCGGCACGGCCGGCACAATGGCATTAGGATTAGCGGATATCAGATGAGCAGCGAGCTTGATGAACTCGGAATGTAACCGCCGGACATCGCGAAATTGAGTTGTGCGGAATTTGGGTATATTTGTCTTCATCCTCAATTAGCTTTATAAGTGGCAAATAGTTGGATGGACCACTTGCATGAACATCAAACCTTAGCACAGGATCTTTCTTGCCAGTCCTCTCGAGGCCGGTGATTTTGGCTTGGAGTTTGTATTGGGGTCCTGGCGGCCTACGTGGCTGCTGGGCCTGCTGTATCCCAGGGATATTGGATGGCCCATTGTTCGCGGGTTCACCTTGCGCTGATGCTTGCTGTTGTGGCGCATTTGATAGAGCTTCTGTTTCGGAGCTAAAGCCAGCTTGTTGCGTAGGTTCCGACAGCTCTGAAGGGGCGTAGTCTGCCGTTGAAGCAGTGCTACTAGCTGTATTCGGTCTTCTAAAGGCATCTATCCCCGAGTCCTCCTGCGCAAAACCGTTGCCTTGCTCTCGGTCTCCATACTGGTAGGGTGTGGGCGACTGGGAGCTTGATATGGAGCTGTAGTTGGTTACATTGCGCTGGGGTGTCGCAGGCGGTGAACCCCAGGGCGATGCGCCGGCACCATTTTCGTCATCTGGAATGGACGCGCGATAGTCCATGTTCGGGAGCACAAGGCCAGCAGTCAACAGAGAGGGTCAAGTCGTTCGAAGGCCGAGCGAGGTTAAGGTAAGTGGCTCCTAAGGTAACCGATTGAGCCGTTCATGTGCAAAGCAAGCTGCTTAATTGAATTCTGCCGAGCCGTGTATGATATAAGAGCATGAATAGATGCGCGAAGATACGGTACGTACTGATGTCCAGAGTCAACGGGATGAGGAAAGCGTGAAGTAGGTAGGTAACAAATGCGTATAACCTCTGCCTGGATATGATGGTGAGGTTGCGGGTCGGTCGGTCATCGGCAAGCTGGTACATAAGCTACATCTACATAGGTAAGTAGGTACCTCCTTGGGCAGTCCTAAAGAAGCAGCATCCACTGTAACAGGTCCAGTAGGCCTGCCTAGTATGGCCCGGGGGCGCAGCTTCAGGACACCGACAATGCCTGTAGAAGTCAGGGTAGGTACCTACATAGGCAGCCAACGGCTTAATTGAAAGGTTTCAACTTGGCCTGTGCGTGCCTCTAGTATCAAGTACTAGTAGGTAACGATACCTACATGTAGAGATATTCTGAACAGATTGGAAGCAACAATTATTTATTTTATCTTCATCTAACTAGATGTACGCTGGTTCCCTCTTAAGTGCTTATAAGTGTAGGTACTCAGGTAATTTTCGTGACAATTTCTCATCTCAAGGCGTTATATACTGCAAAGACAAAGACAACAGAGAAAGTCTTGTTTGTGCCTTAGAGCATGATATGATATAGCGTCAGGTCTCCTTCATCACTTCGTGATTATGAGCCTATTTGCCGCCATCCGCGGAACTCAGGCAAGATGCTACCGTCCCATACGGCCGAAGGCTTTTTCTTCGGTGTTCATCGCCAGCCAGAGCCGTAGTAGGGGAGTAACAACCTCGACATCTCCTGCTCAACCCGAGAGTCCGATACGGTATATTCGAAATATTGGCATTGTTGCCCATGTCGACGCTGTACGCTCCTATTTCGCTCCAATGACGGGAACTATTAATTGCTAACTCAGATGATAGGGCAAGACGACGACCACTGAGCAAATGCTCTACAATAGCGGTGCCTTGAGACATGCAGGCAGTCAGTAGTGTCCCACTACAGGAATTTCAGTAATTAACTATTCACAGCTAACCTCTTATATAGATGTTGATCATGGCGACACCGTCACAGACTTCTTGCCCATGGAGCGGCAGAGAGGAATCACCATACAATCTGCAGCGATCACATTCAACTGGCCAAAACCCGGTGGCCATAACTCGAATCAGCAGCCACACATTATTAATCTCATTGACACACCAGGGCACGTAGATTTCAGGTTTGAGGTCGAGCGATGTATGCCCATTCTAGACGGAGCCGTGTGTGTTATCGATGGCGTCGAGGGTGTCGAGGCACATACTGAAAGAGTATGGTCCTCTGCTCGAGAGTTCAAAATCCCACGTTTCATTTTCGTTAATAAGCTGGATCGCGAGGGTGCCTCGTACAAAAAGTCTATTCAGGACATTGGGCTGAAGCTCAATGGAATGCCTCTTGTCTGCCAGATACCGTGGTGGGAAGACGATACCATGAAGGGCGTGGTAGATGTCATCACAGGCCAAGTTGTCAGCTTGGCTGGAACAACTAACTCCCAAGAGCGGTTATCAGAAATCGCTGTACACAGCAGCATCAAAGATGAGATCGGGCGTGCTCGTGAGAGGTTAATTGAGCTTCTTTGTGAGCGAGATGATGAGCTGCTGGAGCTATGGACTGACCATGGCAAAGATCTCTCCAGCGAGGCTATTAAAAAAAGCATCCGACGTGTTTTGAGCAGCGGTGATGGTTCCATAATACCTGTCTTCGCAGGTTCGAGTTTGAAAAATATTGGCGTTGTTCCTTTGCTGAACGCGGTCAATGACTATTTGCCAAGCCCTCTTGATCGTCCAGAACTTGAAGTTAGGAATGGTAAAAAGATTCAACCACTTGGCCAAATTCTCCAACCTTCGCAGATATCGAAGAGACAGAAACAGCCTCATGTTGAAGCATTGGCTTCTGTCTTCAAGGTCGTCAACGATGCGCGTCGTGGTATGTTAACTTGGGTGCGGGTGTACCATGGCATCCTAAAGAAGAACACCCCCTTATGGAATGCGAACCTACAGGGCTTCGAGAGACCCCTTAATATAATGCAAATATCTGCCTCGCAGACTGTTGAGGTTCCATACCTCGCACCAGGGCAAATAGGTGCACTCACAGGGTTGAAAACCGCCCGGACTGGCGACACATTGATGGTCATGGCGGCGAACAAAGCCCCACCGCCGGAACTCTCACACATCCAGGTTCGACCACCTGAAATCCCACCAGCTGTGGCTTTCATCGTCCTAGACGCAACCTCACCTACAGGGGCTAGGATTCTGGAGACCGCGTTGGAAAATGCATCGCGAGAAGATCCCAGTATCAGATGGTCAAAGGATGAGAAGACCGAGCAATACACGCTATCAGGCATGGGGACTCTTCATCTTGAAATAGCGCGGGACAGATTAGAGAACCACTACAAGGCAGAAGCGATATGGGGCAAAATTGTGGTGGACTACAAGGAGAGTCTATCCATGCAGACACCCCCCACACGCGCCGTCTTCGACAGAACAGTGGCCGGCAACGTGGGCACAGCAGCTTGCACAGCCGTTATCGAACCTCTCGAGAGCCACTATACTGATACGCTACCGCGGTCCTCTTATATCGAACGAGACGGAAACATTATCCGAGTCGAGTTTCCCGGAGAAGACCACCCCTTCGACGTTGACGCAACACGCCAGCACCTCGTAAACGGTGCTATCGCAGCTCTAGCCCGAGGCCCACGCCGCAGCTCCCCTATATACAAGTGTCTCGTGACGCTCACGTATGACAGTGCAACAGACTATTTCGGCACGGTATCTGGCGCGCACTTATCCAGCGCGGCCAAGAAGGCCGTGAAAGACGCCTTAGCAACGGCTCAACAACAAAACAGCATAACGATACTCGAACCCGTGATGCACGTGACCATCATCTGCCCCGAGTCAGCCGCCGGCGCAATCCAGCACGACCTGCATTCTGCGCGGGGCGGCCAGGTGCTCGAGGTCCGTGATCTGCAGGACACCAGCGGCGCCAACAACGCCGCTACGGGGGACGCCGAGATCAATATCGACGACATCTACGCGCCGCCCGACTCGTACGATTTCCAGAAGTCGCTGCGCGAGACCCGCAAGGGCCGCCTGCGCATGCTACAGATCACAGCCCAGGTCCCGCTCGCCGAAGTCCTTGATTACGACAGCGTGCTGCGCAGCAAGACGTCCGGCCACCACTCCTTGGCCATGGCCCTGGATACATTCGAGCGGGTCACGGGACCGAGGGAAAAGGCGCTTCTTTAAATCCCCCAAGTGTATCATCCACACTGTTCTCGAGAAGTCCACGATAGTCATGTATGTATATGTGTATGAAATCTAATAAGAGATACGAATTCCCCGAACTCAGGGTAGTCAGTTACTCTTCAACATTCACCTATGAGATTTACCATGTATCACTCCATCCGATTTTCTAGTCCCACTTATCGTCATTCTCGATTTGAATGTTTTGTATTCTCTTAAGCTCGATGTTCTTAGGCGTCGGTATGATACGTACAATATTGGCCCAAGTCCAGTAGCTCCGCAACGCATATCCTAGTTCTTGGTGATAGCTTCGTACATATCTAGGAAGCAGATAAAAATAGCAGTAATGTATGCAAGAGGTATTCCCCCTACATTATGTTCTTGATTAAATTTAATCTTACGTAGTTGTAACGCTACAGATTGTAGTTTTTTTGGTTTTTTTTTTCGCCTCAAACTTGGTGCGCCAACACGCTTCGCAGCATTGTCATTGGCGCTCTATGAAGGTACCTCTGGCGCCTCAGATGACGGGTCTGGCGCCGCTTCAGCCTCATTCTCGGGCGTGGGCGCATTTTCAGCGTCCTCAGTTGGTATGGCGTTTTCCATATCAGCGTCAGGTGCTTCCTCCTGAACTTCCTGTTTCGCATCGGAACCCGCAGCCTCGGCTTCTAACTTAGCCGAATCCTTGAGTGTCCGGTTAATGACGGGTGATGTATCGTTGAAGAGACGGAGCATCATTGCGGCGCGATCTTCCTTCGGTAGCATGAGGTTCAGAGAGTGGAAACTCTTCCACAGAGGTAGAACCATGGGCTCTGAGAATTCGGGATCACTGCCATCGGGTTCGATACTCAAAAGACAGCAACCCATGCCGATGTCTCTAGTTCGCTCGCCGATCTCGTTAAGTTTCTTCCAACCGTCGTCGATGAACTTGGGAAACATCTCCTTCAGAAGCATATGAAGTGTGTCCTTGTTTGTTAGGCGAACAATTCGCTCCGGTCCCATGTAACCAGCGATGATAGGGAGGCCTTCGGATTGTATTCTCCAACGACATACCTCAGCAGACGGCGCATCCTGCTTCATGAACATCTTCAAACCCCCGTGGATAAACCTAACACCACGACCCTCGTTTTCTACTAGAATTTCTCTAACCAGCTGACTACTATAATATATAGCTTTTGCAGGCTCGCCGACGGCATTCCGTACCATAAATCGATCGGAGGGGAATCGGGCCGAGAGTTTATAGAAATTACGTATGTTCTGGACCACCTCGTGGTCTGCGGGCAAATATTTGAATGGCTCTTCGTATGTGGATTCCATTCGTTTCACCCTCTTATCAGTAGAAGCGTTTGGCGCCGGGGATTCCGTCGAATCCTCGACTTTGGCTGCTTCGGTGTTGCGAACAACTGCAGTGATATTCTCTACTTTCTCATTCGTAGGTGTCTCGGTTCGCTGCCTCTTGTTATCCGGTGCTTGTTCCGACTCCTCTTCGAGGCTCCTCTTCGAACCAATGGACGGAATCTCATCGGTTGGCTCCCCGGTGACAGCTTTAACTTCCTCCGCAATCTCCATTTCTGGAGCTGAAGCGCCGTTTGGCGAGGCAGCAGCTGTTGCGAGTTGAGATTTAACTTCGTCTTTAGCTTTGAAGTCTTTCTTTTTCTCAAGAACCGTAATAAAGAATCCACCTGTATCTTGCTGGTGGGGATAGACTCGCATACATCGGTCGAGAGGGAGTCCAGAGCAGTCACTAGTGTCCGGCCTGGGGAACATGGTTTGGGAGATCTTGCCAGGTGCCTGTCCGCCATTTAAGACATGGTGTTCGACTTCTGCCCAGCTGTTCCAGATTCTGCCCGACTTATCCATAACTTGCCACTGGTACATGCCAGGATAACGTTTCAGCAACGGAAGCCTATCCTTACAGTCGATAATCTCAACGACATCCGGTCCACCGCAACGTTCAATTGCTGAAACTACGACGGATTCGTTCTCAACAGGGTTCATGCTACAAGTAGAATAGACAACCCTGCCGCCAACCTTGAGCATTTGCAGGGCTCTCACTAGAATTCGAGCCTGCGTGGCGTGAAGACCTAGCGCATTTCCAGGTTGCCAATTCCTCCATAGGTCAACGTTCTTTCTTAATGTTCCGTCTCCTGAGCAAGGAACATCGGCCAGAATCCGGTCGTATTTGAGGTACCGAGGAACGTTAGGGTTCTCTGGATCTTTACCTATACGAAACGATGGGAAAAGCGTCGCATCGTGGTTCGTGACAATGAGATTCGGAGAAGAAAGTCTCTTGAGCTGGTGTACCAATAGATGACATCGCTTGTACTCCACATCATTCGCCACGAGAAGTCCAGTAGCCCGTCCATCATCAGACGAGTCCTCTGTAGGGTCGACCTCTTCTTGTTCGTTCGCTGGCAGCGCAGCCTCGCCAAATGACTCCATGAATTTCCGGATCCTCGCTTCCTCGCCAGAGTGGATCATCTCAAGTAGCTGGGCAGACTTGCTTCCTGGTGCGGCGCAGAGATCCAAGACGGTCATACCTGGTTTCAGGTCCATGACAAGAGGCGGGATCATGCTGACAAGCTCTTGTCTGCTGATATTGCCGACACTTGTCTCAGAGACTAAGAACTTCTGGAAGGATGCGAAAGGGGGGAATTTGCGGACAACCTGCTTCGGCGTCGTCATAGAATAGGCTAGCTGGTCCGGATACCATGGTACAGGTTGGGGCGCCTGTACGACGTCGCCATTGAAGTGTTCGATCTTATTAATCTCAGGCGCATATCGCGTTTCTAGAAGGCGCTTGACGGCAAGCGCGTGGCCTTTGGAACCGCAGAAACGGAATGAATTTGGCAAGTCTCTGCGCAGCGTCTCCCAAAAATCGGTTTTCTCGGCATCGTCAAGGGGAAGCAGGCCGTTGTAGAAGGCCTCTAGCTTTTCGTTGTTCTTTGGTATGTCTGGGTTGGATCGGTACGTATCGACGCGAGGCTTCCGGTTCCCACCTCCTTTGCGGTCACCACCTTTACGGCCACCCTGTTGGAACTGTGTCAGTCACAAAACAAATTTGCACAATTTCGTGAGGCCCAGTGGCTGAAACATACTCGCTGGTTTTTGCGACCCATGATCAAGGTCGCGAAGGCCCTATATGAATACCAGTGCAGTCGCAATTGATCGCATATGACTTTGAGGCACTTTCTACGGTAGAATAAGTTGTGGAAAATGGTCTTTAGGGCGTGTTGATGCGAAAATGGTCACACCCAGGTAAGTTCGAAATCAGTTTGCGCAGAGCTCTACGAAGGCTAACCAGAAGCTTTTTCCAATTGACGACTGATGGTTCTTCTAACCCCACCAAAGCACTGGATATGCAATGTGGGGCGGTCGCTGATATGCATATAGGCCACTGATTGAACATACCTAGGTACCTTAGGTACCTAGTTCAGACTAGTTGTCTCCAGCTCTCTGCAACCTCGATGAACCAGCATATTGCTTCCGAGGGCTTCATCAAATTGTATTTCCTTTATTACCTTTACTCGATGCGACTATAGATAGAAAACCACCTCGTAAAACTACTGGGGTGTCCACTGCCTCATCAGACTCCAAATCAAATGTCAGAACAAACTAGATTACCCATATGATCACCACAATCCATAAGGAATTAAACCTGTTTTCTTGAAGAGGGAAAGTTTCCTCATTACAACTTATACTCACTCCCAGATTCATGGGCCATCAGATCAAAAGCCGGCTTCGCACTGAACCAGCCAGCCAGCTCGGACCCGATCGCCTTGTACGTATATTCCGCCTCGTCATCGGCGACTTTGACAGTCTCTCCACCGCGCCCCGCGGCCGCTGCATCGGCAAGTAACTGGGCATGACAGCACTTCTCGAGGCTTGTGAACCAGAAGACGCAGCTCTCGACGGACCCGCCGCAGGTCAGCAGCCCATGATTAGAGAGGATGGCAGCCTTTTTCTGACCGAGGGCTTTGGCGATGTGCTGCCCTTCCTCGGGCCCCAGCACGATGCCGCCGAAGCTGTCGTAGAGCGCGATATCGTTGTAGAAGGCGCACGTATCCTGCGTGGTGATTTCTAAGTTGCGCCCGAGCGTGGAGAATGCTCGACCGTAGATTGAGTGGCTGTGTGCCACGGCATTGACGTCCGGTCGAGCCTGGTGCACGGCCGAGTGGATCATGTAGGCTGTTATAGTTGTCAATGCTCATCCGTATGGAGCGTCCCGGATCATCCGTCGAATCTCCGGAGCCGTTGCACTAACCTGCGACATTGAGGAGTCGTACCGACCCGCCATCAACTATCTGTCCATCGTGGTCAACACGAATGAGGTCCGAGGCCTTTAACAAGGGCCAGGCAACACCGAACGGGTTCACCCAAAATGTAGTGGGGTCTACCGGGTCCCGGACGGTAATGTGTCCTGCAACGCTACCGGTTCCATAGTCTTTAGCGTGCGCTGCTTGATGTGACTTACATGGTGAGAACCAGTTAGTTTGACTTACCCTTCATCATATCCTTGCTTGGCAAAGATCCGAAAAGCAAGAGCTAGTCTTTCCTTGACATATTGACGCTCATCGAGAGGATCTTTGAAGCTGGGTGGCTTCGGGAACTGCACATGAATATTGGTTAAGGTTTGATCGCCTGTCATCGAAACCGAAGAACATACCTCTCCTTTGGCCGCTGCCCGCATACTTGTGTCACCCTTTGTGGAGTGAGGAGACATTTTAGTTGTTTACAGGCGTAAATAAGGACCAGAAATAGTACGAGACAGTGAGCGCGTTCCTCTGAGTTATTCGGATGAGAAGTCGGGCCTTTTCAACGTCCTGATGACCTGCGGGTATGGGTATATTCCTCGGGTGCCTCGGCCGCCTCGGCCTATAAGGACACCGGACCACGAGGGGTAATGAATGCAACCATGGCTGGTGCGGGTGTTTGTGATGCGGTCGGCGTGCGGAGAAAATGAGGAGGAACGCTGACCTACAGCGCCTCGGAGGGCGTGGATATGTCAACCAGCAGGCCCTTTCGGCGATTTTCAGTCGTTTTGTCTGAGATTAAGCTTGATGGCTGATAATCAGGCATTGTTGGAAGAACAGCTTATTATGCATGGTATATACACCTCAATGATAAGAATATCATTGGTGGCCACTCAAAGATGAGATATCGCGTACTCTTTTCCTGCTTGATGCACAATATTCACATAAGAACGCTCCAAGACAACATCCCTATCAGTTCTACCATACGTGTCTCGCTGTGTCTACTTTGGATCTCGCCTCTGATCTAACATATTGCTAAGTTTGGGTAGCAGAACAGCCGCCGATCATTGCTTTGTTGACTAGCACGGAGCACAAGCTGGTAAGGTATTGGTGGCAATAAACGCTTTTATCTAAAGCTACTGTCTGACCATATCATAGTACCAACCAACTCCTTCGCTACCTAAAACCTTCCGAGTTGAGTTGACTCAACCCATTTCTGAACCAGAAAGCGAGAGCAGAAAGTGAATACACGCTACGAATACTAACAAAAATAGATAAGTTCCCGTGGACTTGCCGAAGAACTGGACACCATCACCGCCGAGCCCAGAGATGCCTCAGCAGACAGTAATATTACTCAGAGCCTTCCAAAATCTTGAGAGCCTTCGTAAAATTTCTGATATTCTGAACAAGCTGCGCTCGCTTCTGCTTCGCCACTGAGTCCTCAGCAGCAATTATCTCCAGCTGCTCGTCATCGAGATTCGCGATCATCTCGGCGCTGAAAACCTTGAGCGGGCTTGTTTCTCCTTCGAGCAGATGGTAATTCACAGCTTGCAGGTAGACTCCATCAACAAAGCGCTCGCGTGCGACGTTGTAATAGTTTAAAAGCACTTCGTATGCATGTTCAATCGTCTCGGTCATACTATCTTGTATGGGTATATTCTGTAGCCCATGCATGCTTTTATCAGTTCGTAGCTCCTGGAGATTCTGTTTAAGTGCGCCGAAGTTCCCGAGAGTCAGCATTGGCCCCTCACGTTCGATACGGAGTAGAAACATTGCCTGGTCGTTTGCTCTGCGGTAGGATTTGATCAACTCTTCAAGGAGGTATCCACCCCATAGTCTTTCACGTACTCCTGAGTCGAGAAAGACTGCCTTGACGGCTTCCGAGATGAAGTGGTGAACATGGTATATCGTGATAAACATGTGACCCAGTGTAATGTGTTCCTAATACGTCGATTGGTCACAGAACAACGTGGCAAGGAAGCCTTTGTCAAGCTGTACAATGTAAGTCAGTGGCAGCCATGGAATTTTCAGGAGGCAACTTACACGATTGTCATTTTGTCCGTGGCTTAAGTAGTACATCTCCTGGATGTACTCCATTATGCCTTTCAAATACTTTTGTCTGAGTTGGACTTTAATTACTTTGTCTTGGTTCAAACTTGAGCTCAAAAATTCCCCGGCCCCCTGCAATTCCTTTAACTCGGGATATTTGCGCACAGCTTCAGCATAATCGATCCTATGATGATCTATCAATTCTTCAGATGAAAAAGAGGCGGCTTCGTCTCCTTTACTTTTGTCACTCTCCTCTGTACCATTATTTGGTGTTGGTTTCTCCAGCACAACAAGAGCACTTGCTTCTCCGTTTTTTTTGTCACCCTCCTCTGTACCATCGTTGTGTACTGTCCTTTCAGGTATAGGAAGAGGGTTTGCCTCTCCTATCTTCTTCTCACACTCCTCCGTACAGTCTTTTCGCGCCGATTTTCCAGCAGGAGAAGGATCCTGTGCATCTTTCTTGAACCAAATTGCTTGTTCTCCAACAAGGGAAGGGTCATATACATCTCCTTTTCTGATCCAGTTCAGTCGCTCCCAGGTTTCTTCTAATGTTTCTTCTTTGGCAGGGGTAGGACCTTCAATTAGCCTTTTAGCGTTATTCTTCCACTGCCAGACTCTGCGGTCGCTTTGAAATGCTCGCGTGTGTCCGTATATTTCCATCTCCAGCGCATAGCACCCAACAGTGTCGATAACACGAGTAATTAACCTGAGATCATGGCGCTCGAAAATCTTGTGACGACTATAGTGATAGTTTAGTGCGTCTCTACATAGAGATTGAAACGCTTCACTCGTTTGGATAAGATACGCACGTTGGGTGTGCGGATCGTTTCTGGGAGGCCCCAACTTGTTGTGTATTGCTTTGAGAATGGAAATCTTCTTGTTGATTTCTGATTTAAGCTGGTGAAAATTTCTTTTGAATAGATCGATCAAGAGTTCTTGGACACGCTGCTTGAGGCGGTCAATTCCTACCCTACCAGTATAGGCGAGAGCAGACCATGGAGCATTAGCAAAGAACATACGTTCCTGGGCTTGTGACTGCTCCAGCGTCATGTCAACCTCGTCTGGTCCTCGGGTTTTCACAATGTAGTATCCGAGTGCAAGATCACCTCGTTCACCCAAAACGTAGTTAATGATGAGTTGCTGGGTCATCTCCTGAGTGGCTAACTCGGGGTTCGTAAGGATTGCCATGGTTCTGGTCATGGTGGGGTCGACATGTTGTGCCAATTTCAGGACCGCCTGTTTAGCAGGATCAATATTGCTAGGCATAATGGCTAAGATACTACGCAGATAGTTAGCCCCAACCCCTATGTCCCTGATTAGTAAAAATATATGACTGACATTGTCCGGGAATCTTGGACTACACCATGTATAATTAGCCCACTTTATTCTAATCAATCAATCTAAAAAGGCCAGAAGAGAATCTCACTGTATTTCTTGACCATCTTCAACCCCGGTGGAGAGTCTTCGATTCCAATAATGCCTATGATGCGTCAGAAATTCTTTTTATAGGGATGTGGTAATTCATGCTAACCTAGAACCTCCTGCCGAGATATGTCAGGAATATCCACCACAGTCAAGTCATCTTCCTGTGATAAGTCAGAAGAGAATGCTGAATATATAAGCTAACCGAGAAGTAATATAAAAACTTACATCCGGCCCTAGCTTCTCGATCTTGAGAACATGCTCACTGAAATCGGGCAGCGGGGGGTCATCGGGGTCGTCGGGGTCAGTAGTATTCCCGCCACCACCAATACTCATTATATCATCGACCTAGTCTAGTTAATAATGCCTCCATCGGCCGACGGAGTATGATACTGACCTCTCTGCAGAGCTTAGTGAGGCTATCCAAAGAGAGATCAGTGAAAGTACGATGGAAGTCTTCTACGCTAGCACGGGATTCGGCCGCAGCCTCCGGGTTGACTATAATGGAGACAGAAACCATCTTCTCTGCTTGACGACGGCAGCTAATTTGCGTTACGTGGCGGGTGGGAAGCCTCGGAACTCCAGTCAGGCTCTCAATAACTGAGCTTTTGCCTGAAGACTGCTTCCCAACAATGACTAGCTACAAGTTTGGCCTTAGTATTACTGCTAGGTGAAGAAAGGAAAAATGCGATTTAGACATACCTGAGGCAGCGCGACTCTTGTGCCGATGAGCTCACGCAGCTTATCAATTCTAGCTGGGATGGAGAGGTTGCCGTAACCCGGCTGCTCTTCTACTTTTGCAGCCATACTTTTAAACTTTGTCGTGAAGCCGATGCGTGAAATATAAAATCCAAAAGTGTTCTTTTGTGATATAGTGCAAAAAGTTGGATTAGTGAAAGGTGGTGAGACCAGCCAAGCTTTGATTGTGGAAGGAAAAAGAAGGGAAGAGGAGAGGGAAAGATTTGGATCTGTGAGGTTGATTTACAAATCGGAATTCTGGCGCGTGTAGAGTGTACCTGCCCAGATATGAGTAGAAGTATGGGGCGTGGCGAATCATGAGGAAAGAAAGAAGGAGTGTTCGGGTCTCATAGGCAGTCACATCTCTACCACTAGGGGAATAGCGACGGTGGCCTGAATATATTCCGAATGGCTACTGCCTACTTGAGACCTAGAGCTTATGGGTTATATGGATGAAAGCAATCCATACAGCTACGGACGTGAATCTGCAACGTGGGCATGGCTATACCTGTGATGTGGAACAGCATACATGAGCGGTTGAAGAGACGCACTGCGTTGATTAGTCTGACAATACTTTCAAGCCATGTGAAGGATTTGGAAGTGCCTTATATTATCATATCTATATATAATTTACACACCGTGACCGATACTAATTGTCTAAGAGTCCCAATGTCCAATGTATTATCCTGTCAACGCCTTGTCCGTGTATGGCACTCACTGGGATCGCAACACAATCCTCTGTCCAAGCATGCTCAACATTGCTTGGGTGAGGTTCTTTACCATCTGTAACAGCGTCCAGGTATGTCTTCAATTTATTGAAGTTCTCTTCAGTTTCGGGCAAGTCACTCTTGGTGGCAATGACAAACCATGGTTTGGAAGCAATGTGTAAGCCTGTTGGTTGAGTGACCGGCTCCGGCAAGTCTGCCACTACCATGCGACCTCTCGCCAAATTGGCTCCATCGCCTTGCCAATCAATCCGTTCACTTGTTTCTCGCTCCCTTTCTTCGTCCTCACGCATGCGCGCATACAGACCGACTTCTGTCCATAGGGACTTGAGTGCCTTGACTGCGTTGCCTGCGTTGAGATCAATGACGAAGGCAAGAACGCCTGCCCGCTCGACATGACGCAGAAATTCAATACCGAGACCGCGGTCCAGATGTGCGCCCTCAATAAGCCCAGGAATATCCGCAATGGTGAAACGTTTACGGGGTTCCGGAGCCTCCCCTATCTGTATCTGGCCGGGTTGCTGTGACACAACAACGGACCCGAAGGTAGCATCGTGAATAACAGAGTGCGAAGGAGAAGAGCCCACGGCTGGTTTGGGCTTCACAATGGGGCGTCCCTTGTGATTATCAAGCACCACAGTGCCAATATTAGGTTGAAGCGTCGTGAAGGCCCAATTGCCAACGCGTGCACGACTACGTGTCAGGGCACGTAGCAGGGTACTCTTGCCAGCATTTGGAAGACCGACAAAACCCAGATCTGCGAGTAATTTGAGCTCTAGGTCTAGTTGCATGCGTATGGCCCTTTCGCCCTTAGTTGCAAATAGAGGACGAGGCCGATCTTTGGAGACGAAGTGCGGGTTCCCCAAACCACCGAGGCCCCCTGCTGCTAATAGAATTGGACGAGGAGACGCAATAGAAAGGTCAAGGTGAATAGGGGAATCAGGCTGAGCGAATAGACGTTCTCGCATCGGTAGCCGGGGAAGTGATAAGTTACGACGCTCGCCAGATGACATACCTGGGTACAGAACGAATTTATGCGCGTTCGGATGTTCGGGTGGTTCAGGTAGGTCGATGTTCAGTCGCAGGGCCTCGCTTTCGCCAAGACCAGTTTCCTCACTAACCCGAGCTGCGGCTTCGGCTTCCCTAACCAGCTTCTCATACTCGCGTTCCTTCTCCCTCGCCTGATGATATAGGATGTTCTCTTCAACCATCGGGTCTATCCTATCGATCTCCCGGACGACGGTGCCGATGGGGACCTGGATAATGACGTCCTCGCCTCGGGCGCCACCGCGATTGCTGCCTTGCCCTGTCTTGCCACGGCCAGCACGGATGATGCGGCGACGAGCCAGCTTGTGCAGCGAGTTCTCGCCCTGGACAGCTTGTATGTATATATTGCCACCATGTCCGCCATCGCCGCCATTGGCAGGCCCATTGGCTAAGAATGCCTCGCGGAGAAACGAAATGCAGCCATGACCACCCCCACCAGCTAGAATGGTGATCTTGGCCTTATCGGCGAAGCTCGAGATGGCATAGTCATCTGGAGAAGGGTTCAGACGTGAAATAGGGATCGTGTTATTCGTCGTTAGGCTCTCGGGGCCGTCGCTGCTATCCTCGGTGGCAGAGGTGGATGCTGGTGTCGAGGTTGACAGACCAGCTCTAGGCACGCGGGGCAGAGAGCGGAATAAAGCCGGGTAAAGGAATGGAAGAAAGACGGCCGAAGCTGAGGGGCATCTCGGAGGCATCTCGAAGGGCTCTGATTGGGTTGAGGGTTCAGTCTGCCCTTCTTTTCGATTGACGCTTAGCTATCAATTCTCATCTTATTAGATATGCAGGTACTGAGCAATGGATTACCAAGTTGAGCTTGTGAATATGACCTACCTACCTACACCGGATACTACCTAGGTACTGTAAGTATAGGCGCCTTGCTAGGATTTTCGAGCGAAGGCCGATAAGATAGAGAAAAAACCCCATTTTCGGCAAGCTTATCGCCAACTATCACGATTCCAAGAGAATATTAGCGTCGGTAGCGAGCCGGGAACAAGGGGTTGGAAGGGGCAGGGGTTATCCAGGGAGACCAGCAAGACCAGGGACAAGGAATATTGCAAGGTGGGTAATTTGTGACAACACATCAAAACCAAAACCACTCTTAGCTGCTTCGGGGAGAACTGGTTCTGAGACGGTGCTGAACTGGTGCGATGTACTTAGGTATGCTTCAATACTGACGGATTGATTAGGGAGCTCTGCTGACAATTGAGTTGATTATCCGGATCTACCGTACCAGACATGATTGCCATGTTGCCTCAAAGCATGTCGGTGTTCTCACAACTGCGGTACCTACGTCTCTTCCCATGCTATGGCTAGATACATATGTAGTTTGGAGAGTGCCGATTGGCCCAATTAGCCGCCCACATCTCGGTTAACCACCTACTCAAGTACCTACAATACTACTTACATAAGTATGAACATGTACACAGTCGGTATGGACCTACCTACATGTACATACTTCGTAGTAGGGAAGTATAGAGATGCCTTATGTAAGCGACAGACCGCCGATGTCATCACCGGTGGTCACCAAATCAACAAAGGCGGTGTACAGCAGCACGATAAACGCCAGACGAGAGAGGTCCAGGTGCTTAGCACCAAGAAACGCTACAGGACGTGATGCATGGCGTGGGATGGTCTTTGTACCTACTGCCAGTGGTCCAGTAGCATAGTGCAATAGCTAGGTACTACATATGTAGGTACCTAATGTACGTTAGCAGCATGTACTGTACTACTAGTATCATGGATATACTGCAGTGAGGCTAGACATGTCCAATCGTCTTCGCGGATATCGAGGCTGTCTTATCTATCTTTGGGTTAGGTAGTCCGTTTCTATCCGTTTACTTCCTTCCTTCACTATCCATCCATGTTCGAGACATTCACAGAGTATACTACGAGGCGGGTTAGATCAGTGTCGACATGCCTACAGCCAGCACGCTCTAGCCATCCATCCGTCTAGCCATGGTCCGTGTAGGGTTGGACTTGGGGAAGCAGTTCAACATGTTACGGTATTCCAGTGGTACAATGCAGTAGTAGGTACCTCAGGTGTTTCTCTAGTATCTAACGCCGTCATGATCGAGTTTCAATTGGCTCTCTTGCCCCTCTGGTCCCTCTCTTGTTGTCAACCGCTCCCAAGTCTTACTGTACTTACAGAATGTAGGGGCAAGGGGGGAAAAGAGAGGAGAAGGCGAACAGAGACGGACAGAGACGGCGACGAAAAAGGACACCAGATATTCCTAATACCTACATATCCTCACAATCCCCTCCTTGCTCTTGGTGCTGGCCATTGACCTAACCTCCATCTCCATCTCCCTATCCCGTCTTATCTATTCGTTTCGCCGCCCATGTCTAGACAGAGCCTTGGAGCTTCTCTCCAAGTTGTCTCCAAGCCCTCACGCTACTTGCTATTGCGTGCCCCCGGTTCGTCTCCCGCCCCCCCTCACCAACAGCTTGATCAAGATCTGGGGTGTGCAGCAATGTCGGCGGATCTGCGAACGCTCGATTGGGTTACTCTCATGCACTCTGCATACTAGCAATAATCCAGCCGCCCATTCGAGCCACGACAGCCAAATTTTTAACTCCCGTTCGGACGTGGACAGACCTCTGGTCCTCTGTCGTCCGTCCGCTCTGGTTCTCGCTGGTCCTTGCTGGTCCCTCGGGCTTCGCTGGGCTGTTACACTTGCAACCTCTGCTGATTCTCTTACTCTTGTCAATTGGTCTTCTATTGTGTCTCCCGTCTCTGCACCACCACCACCACCACCACTCGCTCTCTGGCTCTCTCGCTACACTACTACTATTGGTACGACTTTTCTCTTGCAATACTACCAATACCACCATTCTGGCACTCCGCTAGCCTCGACTACCTACTCACTCGTCAGGCATTTAGTCTGGCCAGCCAGTCAGCCAGCTACCTAGTATAGTCCGCTCAGCCAATAAGCCAGTGAGCCAGTGAGCCTGTCAGCCTGTCCTCCCGCGCGCTCCTTTTCCTTTGCCTTCCTCCCTTCTCTCCGATCTTGGCTTGTTCCGTACTGTGTGTCGTGGTTGTCTCGATACCCCACACTCCCATAGAGCCATCGTGCTGTTCGGCTCCCGTGATACCGGCCATATCGGGCCCCAAACCTGCTCTTCCCTCTCCTTATTTGCTGCCCTCTTTTTGCCCTTTCGCCGCATTCGACCGGGCGGTCAACTCTGTTTCCTGCATGACAATCGCGAGCTAGCCACAGACTGAACACCTCTTGTCCAACTCCCCCCTCCTGCCACCACGCGGTTCGCTGCAACGCTCCCACTACTGTCCAGGTAGTGTCTATCTGCTGCTACTGTGTTGTTGCTGGCCTTTCTCTTCATAATACAGGTCAGTCTCCATTCTGCTTACTTCTGATTTTCTTTTCCCCTTCTCGCTCCATGGACCCTTTCGGGTCACCTATGGATACGTGGTAAAAATAGCACATCATAATTCTACTATCCCTTATGTGTACCTTCCTCACACACCGGCCGTCCTCGCCTCCACAGCCTCCGGCTTCACGCCGCTAAGATGTATACTAGGGAGAAACACCGTAAGTCCGTCATTAGGATGGACCCGGATTGTGCTATCTGCCATGCCCCTGCTACTCACTCATGTGATTGCGAGGCTAAGGGGCTTGAGGCTGCAGTCCAGCAAGCAGAGCTCCGGATGATGGAATCAGTTTACACTGAGATACGGTGAGCCATTTCCAGAACACAATCCATATTGGCAGAGCTTTGCCGATTATTACCTTAGGCTAACGACATAGTAGCACTTGGGTTCGGGCACATGCTCAGGACTATATACTCGAGTATTTTCGACTGCTAACAGAGCGGCGGAAGGCTGCGCATAACGATCACGTAGAACGGCTAACAGCCTCTGCTTATCACTATTACCACTCACCTCCTCACCCAAATGAGCTTCAGGCGGCTCAGGCGGCTCTTAAGCGAGGCATCGACGAAGATTGGCAGTCTAGTGTTCAACGGTACCCAGAGGTACTAGAGTATTTTTTTGGCTTAGTCGAGATGAACCTTCCCGCAGAAGACGACCCTGCCGTCAAAGATCCGCCACTAAGTGCAATGAATGGGAGGAAGACGCATAGACGGAGCTCAACCGTAGCCCCAGGGAGTGCACATGAGAGAGCACGTAGTAGAAGGACGCCGCCACCCCCAGCTCTCGAAAGAAGAACGCCTGCTCCCCCCCCCATGCATGTTATCAGCGGGAATCCTATGGCACCCGCCCCGCGGTCAACAAGGCGGCAGGGTGGATTCCGGCCGCCGACGGCGCCACCTCAAAGTTTCTATGGCTACTGAATGGATGACTGAAGACATCCGGTTGAAAAGCACCATTCCAACGTGGAGCACATTATTCATTTTCCGGTTCAGCGGTTTAGTTGAACCTACCAACTTATCCTCACTTGGGGGTTTTCAAAGAATGTTGGACAGCAACTTTTAAGCCTTCATGTTTCAGTTCTCGCGCGACACTACCGCTAAGCTTTTACCATCATATCTCAGATGACAACAGGATGGTATACCACGAGACGACGACTATATGAGTCAACGACCACGTTCTACAATGCATTCAGGAGCTTGCTGAGAGGCAATTTCGGCTTAGGTCCATGATTACTCTGCATAGCGCCGGTATCGTTATCTTTTGGTGCCGTTTTCCCGGGTTCTTTCAATTACTGCCCTAACTTGCAGGGCCCAGAAGGTGAGCCGCTGGATCATGTATCCCACTAGGTCTAGACGGTGATGCGGCTATTTACTACTATTTCGAATTTGGTTACACTCAGATTGCGGTAATGGCGTATGGAGTTTCAAAGCATTAATTCAGACATTGGAGGAACGAAAGAAAGCAAGGCTCATCACAACCAAGTTGTTTCATTTTCGAATATACCAGCCCAGGTGGGGAAGTAATATGCTCTACCTGAAGAGAGATGATCAGAATCAATCGAGGCGTACGGCTGCCGCTGCTAGGGTGTCTGGGGAAGATCCAATACACCTATGTTATGCTTGGCCAGATGAGCTTAAGCTAGGAATGGGTTTGCGCTACTGATCGATATGTTGACACCCACCCTATTGAAGATAGGTATGGTTTATCTCACTGAATTGCAGACAGGGGGAAGAGTATGAAATACGCCTCTGCCCAACTGTTTGTCTACCGGTATCAAGGCTTCGCGGGCCGAACAGTGTAGTAGACGAGAAATAAATTATCAAATTACTCTCCTCCTAGACTTGCTAGCTCGTGAGTCCAAGTGACCTCCGGTCCTCTCAGATGCCCAATGCTCCGATCGTTGGTATTGGAAGAGTATATACTATTGCATAGTATGTAACCCTGCGCTTTGCCTCATGGTGCGTATCATATGGTCTTCACATCTATGACAAACCCACACGTAGCTGGGTCGTAATTCTAACCTCGGCTAGCCATGACTGGAATCTAGTGTGACACAGACAAAGATAGGACAAAGGCGTGAGACCAAGGACTGAAAGAATTTAGAAGTGTTCGACAACGCGTATGTAAGTATGCAAAGTCTAATGAAATAGGAGTAACAGAATATCTACAAACCTATTCATTCCGGTAGTCGACTCCACGTTTCGAATCTCTCTGTCAAGTAATCGGCAAGGGGTAAAAAGAACATGAGCCATGACCTATCTGTCTACTTTGATCATACATACGTACATATGCGCATACGCGTCTTCGCGTGTATGTTAATTTCACTTCCCTGGCTTCGCGATGGAGAAATCGCCGTCTTGGTATCCCGACGAGCTCTGCCCAAGTTGATAGTATGCCCAAGCCCGCCTTACATTGATTTGGACCCGGACGTTGCGAGACGAAGTAGACACTGTATGCAAGTCGCGATTTTTCGGTCTAGCTGTCCCTGCGGATTGGCTGGAGGTAGTGGAACGGCGCCACCACCACCACCACCAGCATCTGACTACGTGCGTGCTCACTTACTCACTCACTCACGTACGTATTTGCTGTATACTCGCTAGCTGGTTATGCGTGTATGTACGTGCGTATGTGAGTCCCGGGCGGGAAACCACTCGTGGCCTCACCCATAAGTCGGGTAGCGGAGAGATTGGCCACGGATGAACGTGAAGAAGACACTGCAATATATACTGCTTACTTAGCCTGCTTGCGTATTCCATCGACTTATCTACCCATTGGATACCGGGCAGACCAAGCGGTGCAGAGCGCAGCAAGCTCTGCACACTTACAGAGTACTATCAGGTGATGGTGATGATGATTGATGGCAATGGTGCCGCAATACGGCTAGCATCACATCATGACTATGGTATTCCTTCCTCACGAGATAGATGAGGTATTGGGCTGAGTAGCTATCTATTATTCAGCTGGATCTATCTTGCCATTCATTCATCTGTCTGCCTCATAATCTATCCTTCATTCCACTTAAGCACGTAAATGCCGTATTCGCAGGCACGCAAGCCCAACACATATAACCTTCTCGGAGACATCCACCATTCATCCATAGACGATGGCTATACCCCTATGTATCAGTCCGCATACTGCCACGAGCAACCAGTACATGAAACGGGCGCCATCGTACTCTTCAAACCTACTACCAACGGCATTTCGCTTGCTGTACCTGAGCTAGATGACGATTACTAAGTAAGCCCTGGATACGTGGACCTACCTATGGTATAAGTAAGTGTGCACATGCCTACCAGCAGTACGTAAGTTGTATCACAGATAAGGCTGGCCCAGACGTATTTCACCACTTAACCTAGATACTAAGACCTAACGGCACGCACCGCTCTCATCGATACATCTCGTGCTCCATATATCACGATACCTACATGCACATACGGTACCTCAGCAGTAGATACATATATATGTGCGCTACAGTGCGTACCTCGGCTCCCAACCTACATACCTACCTATTTCTGTATATAATTACCTACGTGGATACCTAGGTACTCAGATGCATGCAGGTGGGTTAAGGAGAGGTAACATAGTACCAACTCATTCACGCTGCAGAACAGATCACGGGACCGCCTTGGTGTGCGTCGCGAAGATTACAAGCTGTATAATGGGGAACAAGGGGGGGGAGCAAGCATCCATACCATGCCTACACGTATAGTACTTCATGGAAGCATAAGGTAGAGAGGGCGGCAGCGCGGCCCAACCTTGAACCTAACCTTGAACTTCCCCTCCCTCGCCCCGGATTATTACCTCCAATCCCCCGGGTGCCCGAAGATTACTACCTACCTACCACGAAAGGAATGCCCTAGAGTTGAAACACGTGAATTCGCGTTGTTCATGGTCTCCACGTCTCCTCTCTGTCCCTGTCCGCCCCGGTCCACGTCCACGTGTGACGCAAATGGAGGCGGATGTCTTTCGTGGAGCAATACGCTGCAGTAGGTACACCGGAGATTTGCGGAACCGTCCCGCTCGGGAAATTACACATTGCTTAATACCTACATATACCTAGGTAGTTTCGTACGTACCTAGGTAAGTAGATAGCTGAGGGGATGGTATGTACGTAGGTAGGTATTGCTACATTTAGCCACATACAAATTATCGTGTGGTTCTGTATAACCGACTTGACTAGGTCGGTAGGCAGTTGAAAGGGGCATAGCCAATTAGATGGATGGGAATAAGCTGATCACGACGAATCAGATTGAAATGAGATCCTTTTATTTTATTTTGCTGCTGAATCGCTGGGATAGCTATAATGCTTGAGAGGCTCGCTTACACTGCAGCCAGAATATATCAGGAATTGCGGATAGGTGGTAAGAGAAGACATAAACGTTGAGACAATGAAGAGGGGGCTCCCGCGGCAGCGATAATTATATGCAAGAAACACCTAGATCTAATATACTCGACCCTGCATTCGCCGACAACACGCCTTCTGCTTTTGGATCACCAAGCTCATGAGCAACGTGTGCAAAAGCTCTTGGCGAGTGGTGGCTGTCCTACGACATAGTGGCATGAGGAAAGTCTGTCGTTTCGGAGTCGTCTAGTTCTGTGGTAGGTTTCTCCTTAGACTCGTTGCACGACTTCTGATTCGATTTGGGATCGGATTGGGAGGAATGGTCGGATTCCTAATCTTTCTTCTCCTCTAATGAGGCATCCTTGAGATCCGACGTGACAGCCTCAACTTTAGTACTGGGCTTGTCTTCGTTAGCACCGTTGGTAGCTCCAGCGGCCTCTGTGGCTTCTTCAGCTTCCAGTTTCTCAATCTCCTTCTTCGCCTTCTCAATGTTCTAGAGATAGTTAGCAAGGGTATAGCGAATAAGGAATATGACCTGGGTAAGCCTACTCGTTGCGTCTCAGCTTGTTGATCAGCCTTCCAGTGGTCTACCTTCGCCTTGACCTTCTCGATGACAGCTGGAACATCAGCAGCGTTCATGGGGGGATCAATGCCCAAGAAACTGCAGTCGTCGATAACTGAAGGTGGGCAGTTGAAGCCACTCTTTTCAGTAGCAGCTGACTTTTTGCCTCCCTTCTTTCCTTTCTTGATGGGGGCAAATAGTTCTTCATCGCGGTCTTCCTTTCGAGCCAGCTTAGTGCCTTTCAAACCAGAATCGTCGACCTTGCGTGAAGCCTGAGCAGTTAAACCACTGTTGGCTAGAAGGGGGCCCTTTTCGGCAGAAAAAGCTGACGGATCAAAGAAGTGGAGCAAGCTATTGGCACGACGAATCTCTTCAAGGTAAGCTGGGTCGCTGGCCTCCTGGAGCATCTTCTGGGCGCGTTCTTTCTTCTTCTCCATTTCAAAGCGCTCCCGCTCAGCCTTTTGACGCTCACGGACCTTCTGGCGTGCCTCGCGCTCGTATTCGCCATAGGCCTTCTTGGCACCGTAGTATTCGTCCTTCAACTTGCGCACAGCCTGGAATTTCTCCTGTTGTTCGGCTTGTAGTTTGCTTCGTTCATCACGCAAAGAATTGAGGTTCTTAAACGCCTCATCTTGTTCGGCCTTGATAGAATCGAGTTCGGCCTGGATTTTGGAGTAACGCTCGCTGAGGGCACGAGATTCGGGGTCATCCATGCTATCCTTGATCTCTTTGATCTTGGCCTTTAATTCATCGATGCCTTTCTGAGAAGTATCGAATTGGGCGAAGTTCTTGCGTTGCTTGCGCAGGTTGGAAATCTCAGTCAAGGCCTTCTTCTCGTCGACGAGTTTCATCATGCCGCTGTTCACTTCCTTGTCAAGAGCTTCGATTTTGCGATCAATTTCCTCAACATTCTTGAAAGCGACCTTACCGCGGGCACTCTTTTGTTCGGCAATGCGGGATCGCAACTGTTCATCAAGGCGCTTAATCTGATCGAGCTTGGAGTTGCGAGAAGTTTTGCCAGCCCCTTGCTTATTGCGGATCTCATTCGCCTCTGCGATTAATTCCTGGCGGCGCTTCTGCGTGGGCGTCGGAGCATCCTTGTTCTTGTTGGGGGTAGCGAGATCAACCTTGGCCTTGATAGCGTTCTACAAGCAAATTTGTAAGTATTTAACAACAGGTGGTAGAAAAGCCAGGCACCAATGCCCGGGCCCGGGCCTAGGCCTGAGCCTAAACAATACAATACAATACAACGTACATATTTGGCCATTGAGTCCTGATATTCCTTTTCGGCCTTGGCCAGTTGCTCGTTGAAGAGTTCGGCATTGGGCCTCTGGGGTTTCTCGAACTTCTTGTCTGTCGTCGCGGGGGCGGCGGTAGCGGTGTCGGCCATGTTGGGAGGACGAGGCGTTGACAATTGGGTAGACGGAGAGGCGGACAAGATATGATATACTACTAGATACCTGAGGAGGCGAGAGGGAAAAGGATGACACCCAGGTTGACTGTGGGCTGCGCTCTACACACCACTTATGGCTGATATACCTGGGAAGGGAAGAGCGCAAGGAAAGAGGGAGGACAAGGCGAGACAAGACAGAATGATCGGCGGCAGCCCGAGGAAAGGCAGGAAGGCCAGATCTCAGGGTCCAGGAGGCTATCGATTATACTAATGCTAATATTCTTCACCCGACCAAGGTTTTTGGCTCAGCAGATGGAATTTTTATGGCGGTCCTTGGCACAAAATTGGGGTGCAGCAACCATCAAACGAGCCACTGTACCTGGCCAGTACTACATATGTACATACAGAAGGCATGTACCGGTGTACCTGGGCCCACGGGTCAGTCCACTGAACCCCAATTCACCAACAGTACCTTAGGTAGTACCTCTACTTGAGTAGGTAGGAACCAAGCAGAGCGTTGAAAATGTACAGTACACAAGTAAAGAGGTACAGGCGTTGAGGCCAGGTGCGGGATAATGTGCGGGATAAGGTTCGGCCCACCCAAACCGCGAGCGCCCTGACCAGAACTGCTGCTGCTGTTGTAGGTTGTAGGTACTCGCTCGGTACTGTAGGTACCTAGAGGTACATGTAAGTAGGTGTAGTGAAGTGGAGAACCCCAGCAGCCGCGACGACCCCCCTGCAAAGCTGCTGGAATTTTTTAGACCGTGCAAAGCAAGGCTGAGTGAAGGTGGAACAAGTCTTTTTTGGTCATTGTCGCTGCTCGTAACCTCCCGTTCTTTCTTCTCTGTACGCATATCCCCTCGACCCTGAATTGATCAGATTTCCCCGCATAGTCGCGACTTATCCAAGAATATTCCGCCCTGAGGACTCGAAACCCGGTGCCAACATGGCCGACGCAGAGCAGTTGAACTCGGAGGCGAACGAGAGGAACATAGTGAAGGCCTGGCGCGCATGGAGAACCGCCCACGAAATGGTGCAAGACCGAGTATGTCGAATTCAGCTCGAAGCACTGAACCAATACAGGAATGGTAGAGATGCTGATAGACCCAGGGCTACGAACTAGCGGAAGAAGAGGTTAAGATTTCTCTCGATGCATTCAGAACACAATACACTAGCGTAGATGGCACCGTCGCGTACGTATTTCCTCGAGGCATCTATTCGCCAACTAGGTCTCGGCGACTTGACTGACTAGGGCTGTCTACAGGCGCGAGAGAATGAAGTTTTCTGCCCGGCCAAGCCCCGAGATGCTTAAGAAGTTCACTCCTCCAGCGACGCCCAATAACCCCGAACCGCAACCAGATGTAGGCACTATCTGGGTGGAATTCAACGACGACACCAGTGTTGGCGCTGAAGCCATGCGCAAATTCGCCAAGTTCTGCTCGCACGAGCACTACAGGACTGGCATGATGATTCTGAGTGGTAACGTCTCGTCTGCCGCCAAGAAGGAGATCCCCAAATTCGCCCAGTGGACTAGCATCGAGTGGTTCCTTGAGGAAGACCTGCTCATCAACATTACCCACCACGAGCTTGTGCCCCGTCACGTCATTCTAAGCCGAGAAGAGAAGACAGCGTTGCTCAAGCGATACCGCCTAAAGGAGACTCAGCTGCCCCGTATCCTCCAGCGTGATCCAGTTGCCAAATACTTTGGTATGAGACGCGGTCAAGTCGTCAAGATTATCCGCGACAGTGAAACGGCCGGACGTTACGCTAGTTACCGATTATGTGTATAAGAGAGAGCGGGAAATACCCTAGAGCTGAAGGAACGATGGTGGAAGTGAAAAGCATTTGCAGAGTACGGCGTCTTACGCGGATGACTATGGATATTTCGACGGTACGGTGGCGTTTATTTGGCATGTTAAGCTCGGAACGGCTTCTTTGCTGGCTTTTAACCCTGATGAAGCCTTCTCGATATAACTTTGTGTGTTTAATTCCAATAATCATGTACTTGGGACTTCCTGCTCAAATATCCGCTTGGCCATTATTGTTTGTGCAGCCAAAGTTGTGAAACATTTGAAGCGGCCGGCAACACTTTCTATCGCGTTGGAACTGATCACAGCGAAAAGTAGCCAGGAGATCGTTCATTCCACTACCTTAACTCGCGTGCATAAGTGGTACTATGATAAACCATAGTTGTGAATATGTAGACGGTCCCGTAAACGGTCGCTCTACAGTTCTAACTACGGGGAGCCTGCAGCGTGTCCACTCTTGCAAGACATAATTTGGTCGCCTCCGTGAAGAAAACCGTAGTATATGACAGGCGAGACAGGTAAACTCAGCAAAGTGTTGAAATCAAGATTCCGATTCAGAGCTGGCTATCTGATACTCATGTAGTGCCTGGGATATACTCGGGCCTTATAGTATTACATATACCTCATTCATACTCTACGTACATTCCAGCCTCTTGAGCGGGTTTTCACACGATGACTCTTGTTCCTAACACTATTATGTCGTCGACGGGAGTCAACGTGGCTCGAAGGCATGAGGTTTCTAACCTCTACTACAGCTGTAATCGAGACATCGCCTTTCAAACAAACGATCTACACAATTTGACAAGCAAGCAAACAGGCGCTATAGTTGCCTGCTACACTAGTATTTAGAGTTTCTCGTCACCGTAGCTGAGTAGATAGGGTCTTTGAAGGTATGCCTACGCTCATCTCATCGCGACCATACACCTGGCGGACTATGTTTAGAGGAGTAAGCAAAGATTGTACTTACACACAACTCATGCCTACTATATGAGCCACTTGATACAATTCACATATGCTATCATGTCATGATAGCGACGTCGACCTCTGCGGTGGTATGAACATCTACCATGACATGCACCCTGCACACTATTAGTTCGTCAGAGTAGCGCGAACTACTATGTCAAGATGCCTATATGATGAGACATTCTCGACACAATGACATACCGAACATTGGAATTAAGAAACCTTTCGATCGTTAAGATTCGTATAAAGAGATATGTGCGTATATGTGATATCTGAGCATCTAGGACAAACTATTATTGGAACCTAAGGTCCGGTACCAACATTATGCGATGCGGGTTCGATCCCAGCTCCTATCTGTAGGAAAACCGCCTCAGATGTGTCTCGGACCACATAATGGGAAGGAATATGTCACTAACGGAGATGCGATTAGGTGCTTGAACAAAGGAGCAGGAGCAAAACAAGAAGATAAGCCAGTGTTTGGTAAGTAATTTCAGACACAGGCACACTTGATTTCTGCTGCTTCGGCAGACGGTGTTATGTTGATCTATCTAATCGAGATATTAAAAGAACAGGCCAACATGCACCTCGTTTCTTGGACCTAATTACGTAGCCCCCTGACTGTATTTGGCAGTCACATAGTGGAAATTGATTGATCGATCCTTCGGGAATGTGTATGCACCCTGTGGCAAAAATCATCGGTGTCTAGAATTACAAGTCTCTAAGGATCTGATCCAGCACACTAGACATAGAGCAATTGACGATATCTGTCTACTTATGCGTGCCGTAGCACACCGTCCTCCTTTACTGCACTAAAGGATCTAATTCGCCGGTATTTAATTGAGGCAAAGCGCAAGAAAAGTAAAAGAAAGCAAGAAGGAAGGACGAGAAAAGTATGAAATGGCTGCTATCACCGCTGACAAAGTAACATGACACGCGTGGCACACAGGCACTAGCCCACCACCTCCGTCCCGGATGTACGGTTTTACTTGCGAATCAGATAACCGGCATGCTGACACAGATACAGATACGAACTAAATATATCACACTGCCATACAATAAGGATTGGTGACTTGTACTAGACTGTAGGACATGGAGAGGAATGATAGAACGAAGCTGATGCTAGCCGGTTTATATCTTGTGTGAAGCCATTTTGGTAAACCGCTTCAAGTGTCTATCAAGCATTAACGAGTCTAAGTAAGCAAAATAGATCCTATCTCGACGGAAGATTACTTGGCAGCTCACTTATCTAGCACTAATTAAGGCCCAGGCACCATAGAACGGCTAGACAAGATAGACGCGTCCAGAACTCAAATAGTGTATTTTGATAAGACTTACGAAGAGTGAATTAGAATTTACCAACACAGATAAGTGTCTGAAGAAGTCTTTTTTCTATTTCATGGCTAATTCTGAACGTTATCAGTCAGTCATACAGCTACCAAGCTATCTAATTAGTCGACCGCCAGCCTTCACGTTTCCGCAGCGCCATCCGCAATATAGAAACAAGAAGTACCAGTTGGGGGTATCTATAAATCCAGTAGAAAAAAAAATGTCGCACCATATCGACGACAAGGTCTAAGCAGCCGAGCAAGGGTGTGAGGAGCGATATAAATAAAGAGGTGAGGAAAACGATGTGCGGTGTTGCGTCAGCATCTCGTTTAGTACTCTTTCCAAAACCGTTCTTACTCTCTCTCACCATCCATGAACCAACTCTCCGCTGTATTCCAATGACTTGCCTGTCCTGAAACCCCGTAGACCCTTGCCAAAGAGGAATCCCGAAATACCTCTCTTTAGGTTATTCGCTGCCAATGTCCTGAACCCGGTAACCGTTGACGCCGTTGCGATTTCGTCTCTAAAGACAACTCCGATGAGACCCATTCCCAGTACAAAGACCAAATAATCCAGTGCATGAAGCCCGATACCCGAGCTAAGTTTTTTGGCCCACAATGAAGATAAGATGTATGAAACTTGTGTTACAATTCACAGTAGATTTCGCCATAAAATTCGTAATCTCATGAGACCAGAGACCAGTTGTCGAGGTCCGATGGCGGCAGTGACAAAATTATAGAAGTAGTGTCGTAAGGTAGTAAATAAATCAGCCAAGCGGCAGGGGAGGATGAAATTTTCGTGTTATCTGAGTAAGCCACCAGCGTCGACTAGAATCGGACCACCACGATATTCGTCCATTTCATAAGCCGGCTCGTGGGGGTGTTGTGGAATAGGCTGTAGCTCGCCTCCACTAGGTGTCCTGGTACGTCTCGGCTGAAACGGGTGGAAGAGACCACCCAAGTCCTGCAAAAGGGTTTGCGAGCCTCGTCGAAAACCAGAACCACTCGCTATCATAGTCGGTGATGGAGTTGTACGGTACGGCGAAAGTGGATCCTGACTGGAATTGAAACTGTTGCGAGTGCTCCGTAGAGTCGTGTCGCTCGTCTCTGAGTCTAATAAACCTCCTACATCCAGAAACGAGACCCGTCTTGGAGTATTAGTTGAGTTGCTCTGGCCAGATGACGTCATTTGATCTTGTTGTTGAATAGCGTTTTCTCTTCGCCCACTCATTGTCTCTGGTTGGACGAATTGCCAATCATTCATACTAGCCATCGGTGCAGGCCCTAACCTTGAAATCGGTTCCTCTTCATCACGGTACCTCGAGGTCACACCCAACCCTACGTCTCGGACCAAGTCTTCATCACTGCCCCAATGCCTGTGGATCGTGGGACGCCTCGAGGGTGTTCGTTCCAGTGAATCACCAGCAACAGAATCGGCTCTGTATTTGATCTTCTTGGTGCCTCTATCACGGACAAACGAGCCAAGCACCAATGCGTTCGCCGCTGTGGTTGCAAAAAGTAATTCAACAGAAGCAACAAGGGACCGCGTTTGTTGGCTGCCATGGGTACGGAAAACGTAGATGACTCGATAGATAGTGGTGGCAACCGGACCTAAACTCAGTGTAAATAACAAGGTGAGTTGAAACTTCTTTTTTGGACCCATAGAGCTGGTCAAGATGATGGGCACGGGCAAGATGACTAAGAAAAGGTCGGTCATGATGTTAGAGGTGGCCATAGTAATGAGCTGGACGTAGCCTTGACGGCATTGACCACCGGGATCAGGTAGAACCTGATAGTAGTGATTGAAAGGCCGGCATTCAGTCAGAATTGCAGCAAGGATAGCTATGAACGTCAACGCTAATAAACCACGCATGATATTCAGTGCGATATCATGGGACCGTCTCCAAAATGTGGCCGAGGTGCGTTTAAAGAAATCGAGGATGGCAAGCTTGAGAATCCAGAGCCTTGAGTCGCACTATGTTAGCTTCAAAGGCATTTTGAAGATATCTTTAAAAAAAAAATCGCACTATGATGATGGTTTGAAAGATTACGGGAGGGTTACATGAGGTATTGTATAAACAAGGGAACCATAGAACTTACGTTGCCGTATACAATATGCGACTGGCTATGACAAGCCCACTCGCGATAGACTTGTGTCTTTTCTCTGTTTCGGTCAATGGCCAGGTAAACTCGGCGTTGTTAGTACCCCAGAGCAACACGAGGTGGACAAGCCCCATGCGAATGAAAAGAGGAATGACAGCATAAGTGACCGTTCTATCCTCCCGAAAAAGCTTCTCGGACCGGATAAAACGACCAGCAACGCGTAAGAGGATGATGGTGGCACAGAAGAGAGTGATCCACCAGCAGACGAGGAGCGTGGGCTTGTCGTCGTCGGCATTGTGCAGGGGCGGCGGCGACGAATACAACGACATGGTGTCTTATGGTCAAAAATGGCCACGCCCGTCAACCTCCGTAGAGGGGACGAGCGGGGGTACGCAGTCGTCCCTGGCGGCTAGCAGATCCAAGATGAATCCTTGTGATGGTTTATAGGTGAGAGGAGCACCGCTACCTGCCGCACCATCCAATCTCTAGAAGCCCAATTGCAGCGCAGTAAGTCGATAAGTCAATAGAAGAGGATATAGCACTTCGGTCTCGAGTATGCGCGGAAATCCGACTGCACGAAGAGTCCACAATATTGCGACAACAAGAGCAATTATTATAAAAGCCTTCGGTTAATAGCTCGTGGTCCGGTACCAGGAACGGCAGCGTTAAGTCTGTCTGATGCATATGCACGTATACTATCGGTAGCGCGAGCTTGCACCTCTCGTGACAGCAGACTGCATGTACTACAATAACGGGTCGTTGGAAACGGCGGTATATTATTGTACATGGTAGAAGTACAAGTAAAAGTAGAAGAAAAAAGATATGACGATGTTAGTAGTCGTGACGGGAGTAACAATAGCTGACGACGACGACGACGACGACGACAATAACAACAACACTACCAACTAGGACGCGCCGGCCGGTGGGAGTTGAGACGTCGCAAAGCCACGACGAGAGTCGAACTCGGGCTCGATGGAAGAAAAAGGTCGGACGAAGTGAGACAAGTGGGTAGCGAGATGCGCTGAGGGGAGCAGGCGAGGAGATACCTACCTATAATACCTAATCGAGCCAGCCTTGGGAATTCGAGATCCCACCGATGCTGATCCTTCTGGTGCTGGCTGGCGCTTGGTGCTTGGTGCTTGGTGCTTGGTGCTTGGTCTGGTGCCGCCGCCGCCGCCGCCGCTCCTCCTCCTGCTCCTTGCTCCTTGCTCCTACTTACGCCTGCGCCTGCGTGGCGGGTGGGCGAGCGGGCGGTCTAGTCAAGACTTACTAGACCCTTGCACATGTATTTCCGTCATTGGATACCAGACTCACCATATCTACACCTCCCTAGTACTTACAGATTAAGTACGGGTATGCTAGCTACAACTGCCTCTACCCTCGCTCTACCCAAGTCTACCCAAGGAGGGAGTCTGCCTCTAGTGCGCCGCGCTACCTACAACAACACTCAGATAGCGTCTGCTCTAGCGTTCCGGGAGAGATTCTGAAATTGGTCTTGGAGCCGACAAAGCACGACGTCGCACCACCCCCGAGAGGTACAGTCTACCAATGAAGGGGTTCTGGAGGGGCGATGACACGCACCGATACAACAACTACCTAGTAGTAGTGTACTGTACACTACCGTAACAGAACGCAGACCGGGGTTCACATTCAGGGGACCAGCTCGCCAGCGTTTACTATGGTTGGGTGCCAGTAAAATCGACCTATGTCAGGTATTCTTTTCGAGCTAGCCTTAGTGCGCCCCATACGAAAGGTATCTCGTCCGCGATTGTGTATCGCGCTTGTACGGAAAAACCCCCTGCACGGCGGGTTTTCAACGCTACGCCTAGCGGAAATACCTGTCGTAGGTCAGCTAACAGGGGGGTAGGAGAGTACGTGAAGTAAGTACCTACCCATGCCGAGCCATGCGTGCAAAGAGCTACAGATACCTACAGACAACAGCATACTCTGAGTCTGCTCTGAGCATGTCTACATACTACGGTAGTCTTAGTACTAAAGGACAGCACAAAGGGAGGAGTCGGATCGACGACGAACCCCAGCCCCAGTTGTCTGTCTGTCTGTACATACGAAGTAAGTAGGTAGGTATAAGTAGGTACATATCATCATGTATGTCTTACTCGTCCAACATGGGACATCCATGGCTCTGCCCTCCCCACATCGTCGAATCCATCGGCGCGGCGGTCTCCCAGCGTCCAGGTCTCGATACCAAGTACTTCAATGCTGCTTGCTGTATCCCGCTGTACCTCCGCCACCTCGATTTCCAAGATACTTCGTAGCCTGCCTTGGTAGTTTTGTTCCACTGCTGTCGCCAACGCTGGCGCTAAGTAGTTATTTCGGTACAAGTGCGGGAACGGCCAAGTTTAGCTAGCCATGGCCACAAGATAACGATGGCTTGATTCCGGCCACAGCTCTTGTCTAGCGCAAGCGTTACGTAGTTCAACCGAGCGCCACAAGTCCAGATGAAGACAGTGGTCCGTCGCTCTGGGCACTTTGATCTACCGGTATCGACCTACTGAGTACAGTACTGATCAGATACTGACCTCCCCCGGCATGGCGTCACAACACCATCAAAGACGGAATTCCACGTGCCTGGATTGGCCCAGTCTCTTGCGGTGAAAAGACCACCCCATGCCCATCCCATGCATGTCGTCGTGCGGCTGCCTGTCGTTGGTTGGTTCTGGTTGGTGCTGATGAAGCCAAGCATTGGGGCGCGCTCTCAGAGTTGTCGTGTGCTAGTGTCGCCAATGTTGGACATGGTCAGTACCAGGCAGTGGGAAAGTCTCGCCACACCACGCGTACTTGTCTATATGTGTATATTGTTGGTGTAGTGTTGTTTCTGAGACCCAAGTCTCGGTTGATAGGTATACTTAACGACTGGCTAACGCGATAGTGAATGTCTGTGGAAAGGAGGAGGGACGAGAGAAGGTGAAGCATCAAAAAGAGCAGCTTGAAGGTACCGTCGCTAAGAACGCCACACCAACCTCGCTTGTTCAGAGCAGCCATTCGACGTCGAGTCTAGCCGAGCCGTTGCCCTTTTCAGCAACTCAGCCCATTCTTGATAATCAATCACGTTGGCTCGCTACAACTGCTGCCGGCCGCTGCACTACTCGACTGTACATACTTCGTAGGGACCTACCTATCAGTCTATACTTTTATACTGGTTTAGATACTCCGTAGATAGATGGCCTAGAAAATGCCTGCCCTGCCTACATTTACACAAGTAAGCAGACGGAATGGCTGACCAGTGTCTCAATTATAGGCTGCGACTTGTTACCCGTTGGGACTCCACTTCCGTCGCCAACTTTCTGACTTCCAGTAGAAGCGTTGGGGTCTTTGACTTAAAAATGACCAGTTAACTTAATAAAACAAAGGTACTTTTAAATAGGTACAATCCCTACTAAGATATAAGTAGCTTTGTTTAAACCAATTCTACTTTATATAACAATTAAAAAACTTAAATATAGCTAAGAATTTAATTAAGCAATTACCTTTTAACCCATTTACCCTACCCACTTCTATACCTTTAATACCTTTAACGCCTTTACCTTTAACGCCTTTACCTTTAATTTTAATACCTTTAATACCTTTAATTTTTAACTTTTATACCTTCTTTTTAATTATTAACATTATTTAAGGTAATAAATATATTAATTATTGATTTAAAATTATTAAAATCCTTTTATATACTTTTATATTTATTAAAATTATTAATAATAATTTAAAAGGCCTTTTTTTAAAAGCGTTGGTTTATTATAGCCCTTTAAAACCTTTTTTTAACTATTATAATAATTAATTTTATATATATTTTAATTATTTAAATAATTTTTATTAGATTAAGTAATAATATTAATATATATAAAGTAAAACCTTTAAAGTTAACTATATCCTTTACTTTTACTTTATTATTTAATTGCTTTTTATTTTATAAATAAATATAAATCTTTTATTAATATTAATAAAATATTTTTAACTTTAAAAAATCTTTATATAGGTTATAATAGTATTTAAAAGTTAATTTTCCTTTTTTTTATTAATTTAAATTTAATAATGCTTATATTTCTATTATTTATTTTTATATATAAGTTAATTTATCTTTATATGCTTTATATTATAATTAAATCTTTTTAGCTTTAATTAATACTTTTTATTAACTATTATTATTTATAGTATAAAGTTATATATTTTTAACTTTTATAGGGCTATATTTAATAATAACCTAAGTTTTTTTATATTAAATTTTATAAGTTAAGATTGCTTTATAAAATTAATAATTTTCTTTCTTTTCCTTTAAATTATTAATTATAAATATAATAATAATATTAAAATAATGTTAAATTATTTATAAAATAAAAGGTATAAGGGGTATTTTATTAATTTAATAAACTTTTAAATAAAGTTTAATATATTATTATACCTTTTTAAATATTAATATATTAATAATTATTAAGTTTTATATTAATTAATTTAAATTTATTTATTTTTTTTATATTATTAATTTTAATATATTTAAGTTTATTTTATAAAAATAATTTATTAATAATTAAAAATATTAAATTAATAATTATATTTAATACTTTTTTAAGGTTATAAAGTAAAAGATTAGTTTTCTTTATATATTTAATATTATTAAATATTTAAAAGTCCTTTTATAAATTATTTAAAGGTTAATTAAAAAATTATTCTTATTATAGTTATTTATATTATTTTATATTATTAAAAATACCTTTTAACTTTAATAAGCCTTATATAATTAAAAGATTTTAATATTAAGTAATTAAAGTTTATTAAAGGTATATTTTAATAATAAAAATATAATTATTTTAACTTTTTTTATTTATTTAATAAATTTAATTATATTATAGCTCCTATAGTTATTTAATAATAATAACCTTTTTTACTTTAAATTAATAAATAAAATAATATTATTAAAATAATTAAGCTATTTAAAGGCTATAAGGTTATTACTTTAACTATTTTTTAATAAATAAATAATAATATTATTTTTAAAGTTATTTATATTAAATTTTTTAAAAACCTTTATAATTAAACGAATAATTTAATAAGGAATAATATTATTATTTATAAAAATATATTTAATAATAATAATAAAATTTACATTTTTAAATTTATAAACTATAGGTTTTTAATTTTATAATAGGTTTAAATAATAATACTTTTAATACTATTAATTTAAAAGTTAATTTTATTTATATTATATAAAAATTTAATTATAATATATTATATAAAAGCTTTACTTTTAAAGATAAAGCTTTATATAATAGTTAGAATTATATATTAATTTAAATATAAAGAAGAAAAGAGAACTATTATATAGTGGCCCATTCTGGCCAGGTCCTTTATAAGTTAAGGGTAATTGCGGTTTATAGGTTAAGTGGTAACAGCTGTCCAGACTAGCAGACGTATATAAATATAGTGGGCCGTACAGTAGCCCTATACGCGTGAAGTATATA